TTGCCGATCCCTGAGCTAGGGCATGTGCGGAGGACACACACACACACACACAGACACAAGCAAAATATACTTGTTTTCAATTACGTTTATTGGGCCAACTTACATTTTCTTAGGCCCACTCACAAATGAGTTTCTGGCTACGCTAATGGTGACTTTTGACAGACTTCTCTGAGCTCCGCAGCCATTACACTTTTCACCTCGCGCACCCCCTAGCGGCAGCTCGCGTTCCCCAGGGGGTGCGCGCACCACACTTTGGGAATCCCTGCCATAGAGCTCGACTGGCATTTGCTCAAGAACTCCAGAATTGGCAAGTCCGCCACTGGCACCCTGTACTGTTTACAGACGAGAGCAGGTTCACCCTGAGCACCTGTGATAGATGTGAAAGAGTCTGGAGAAGACAAGGAGAACATTATGCTGCCTGCAACGTTGTTCAACATGACAGGTTTGGTGGTGGGTCAGTGATGGTCTGGGGAGGCATATCCATGGAGGGACACACAGACCTCTACTGCCTAGGAAATGGTGCTCTGACTGCCATAAGGTATCAAGATGACATCCTTGAACTCTGGCAGACCCTACGCTGATGCAGTAGGTCCTGGTTTTCTCCTAATGCACGACAATGCCCGGCCTCATGTGGCAAGAGTATGCAGGCAGTACCTGGAGGATGAAGGAATTGAAACAATTGAATGGCTTCACGATCCCCTGACTTAAACCCAATAGAACATCTGTGGGACATTATGTGCCGGTCCATTAGGCGGCGCCAGGTTGCTCCTCAGACTGTACAAGAGCTCAGGGATGCCCTCACACAGATCTGGGAGGAAATACCACAAGACACCATCCGTTGTCTCATTAGGAGCATGCCCCGACGTTGTCAAGCATGCACACAAGCTCGTGGGGGCCACACAAGATACTGAAAAGCAATTTGAGTTGCAGAAATTAAGTTTTTGAACTAATGGAGTAGCCTGCCACATCTTCATTTCACTCCGATTTTAGGGTGTCTACACAATAAGAGCCCTCTGTAGGCTGATAACTTCCATTAAAAGATTTGGCATCCTTTTGTTCCTAAGACATTGCCTTGTCGTTATTTGTATAGATATCCATCTTCATATTGAGATCTGATGTATCCAATGTGTTTCTTTAAAGTGTTCCTTTAATTTTTGTGAGCAGTGCATATTTTAACTATCATGCCACATGTCTGAATTTGTGAAATAGCTAAATAAATGTGTTTTTTTGTGCGGTAAACACCTTCCTCAGTTGAAATAAATACACCGGGGGCGAATAGAGACCCATTCAAGATGGCACCTGACCACTACAGTAGCTCCAATAGGCAACACCAGTCCACGTCGCATCTATGTAAATGATGTCTGAGCTTCAGATGACAGGATTTGGAGTCTTATTTCCTGATAATTGGACATCTCGTTTTGGATTGGATAACAGCAACTACAACTCTACCACTTGCAGCATTTATGTTTTATCTCCACAAATAACACAAGCCTGAAGGAGTTCTGCAGTGTGGTGGAGTTGCTAATGCTAACAGTTAGCTTCTACTAGTCAAAATGTTCTCTGCCGTTTCCTGTACACCAAAACAACAACCTTCCCCGTCGTGAGTCAAGATGGGTGAGCCCATGAATGTTAAGAGACAGTGTGATGTAGATCTGTCAGACTTCTCTAATCCTAAAGTTTCACATCTATTTTCTGTCAGAAGCTAAAGCAGGAGATAGATGTTGGAGACTTTTCATGTTCATCCTGCATGAAAATCTCAGAGTGACTGATTATAATAAGAAGTTGTCATTAAAAAATGACTAATAATTGTTCCACACCTTTAAGTGGCTAAAAATATTTTAATTTTGTTTCAGGTGACTGGAGTTTTCTTTTTAATGGTTCCTGGTTTTTGTAGCCGTTAGTTTTAGTTTCTGGCTTGAGCAGCTGTTATGTTGACCTTGAGGTGGTTAGCATCAATCCTTCATGACGGTTTCTGTTTCTCCAAACTGAGACCGTAAGACTAATAACTGATCCACAGAAACTCACTTTAAAAAGAGACAAAAATAACCCCCTTGTAGACTGTAAAACATGTTTGGGTAATGAATCAGAATGAAAAATAATTGGTTATTTAAACATTTCAGTAATTGGTATTTTACAGTGTAATAATTTGTGATTACATTTCTCTTGTCTTTCTGCTCTTGGTTAATGACTAATAAGCTTGTTTGTAATCTTCAATCACAAATATCACTGATCGTTTATGGGTTGGAGTTTAAATGTGTTGTCATATATTACCACTTTAAAAACAAATCTAAAACATTTGTTTACTCCTAGTTTAGGAGAAGATGTTGACTTTTCACAAGAAAAGGAACGTTTATTCCAAAATCTTGCTCAGGTTTACACATTTTATGGTATGCTATGGTTTATACTTATGTAATTTCTGATCACATATCCTCTGCATCACTTTTTTCAACTGAAGTTGCCACACTAATTTACTATTTTGGAAAGTTAAAAAAAATCTTTTAAAAATAAAGAGTTGCAGTTTTTAGAAGTGGATGTAAAAAGGCAACATTATTATCCATCCATTTTCTGTAGCCGTTTGTCCATGGAGGGTAGCGAGGGGCTGGTGCTCGTCACCAGCAGTCTCCATGCAAACAGGCAGGGTACACCCTCACAGGTTGCCTGTCCATCGTAGGGCCACACACACACACACACACACACACACACACACACACACACACACACACACACACACACACACACACACACACACACACACACACACACACACACACACACACACACACACACACACACACACACACACACACACACACACACACACACACACACACACACACACACACACACACACACACACACACACACACACACACACACACACACACACACACACACACACACACACAATTTAGAGAAACCAACCAACCTGACAGTCATGTTCTTGGGCTGTGGGAGGAAGCTGGAGCACCCAGAGAGAAACCACGCATGCACAGGGAGAACATGCAAGCTTCATACCGAAAGGTCTCACCCTGGTAAATTAATCCAGGACCTTCTTGCAGCAAGCCACTGCGCCAATGTGCAGCCCTATCTTATTATTCTTATTCTTATTCTTCTTATTATTATTCCTTGAAAGCCAGCCTTTCCTACCAGAAAAAGTAAAATGATACTTAAACGTGTGTTCATGTGGATCCTTTTGAAGTTTTGACACTGGACATTTTCTTTTGTCTGAGCAGAAAGTCGAAACTATGGCTGACAATGAAATCTGGGAAAGTTTGTTTGTATATTCTGCAGATGGTAAATCAAGCTTTCTGAGTTCCAAAAATTCAACAATATCTCTTTTATGAAGGGTTCAAAGGAAGCACAATCTGCCGTTGGTGTGGTCATGTTCTATCACGAAGCACCTATGCAAATACAGAGAGTGTGTCCTTTTGCAGAAACTCATCAGACTCTTATCTGAGTCATGTGACACTCAGCACCTGGACCATGAAGCTCAATGTGCACAGATTTTTGATTTCATGTTGTGTCGGGTCTCAAAACTTGTCATTGTCTCCTCAGCGCCTCAGGTTCACCCCTGTGGGCCTGATGTACCAGTTTAACCCAGAGTTACATAATCACACCAGTTGGTGTTTGGAATGCTTAAAGGCACTCAGGTAACAACATAACTGAGCTTTATGAGCTTTTCACCCACAACCTTCAGATTAGAAGCTACAGGTTATCAAAAATGTGCTTCAAAGACAAACTGCTGTACATTTTAAAAGTATTTTTGGTGATTTTGTCACCAGTCCGTCCACAGGTCGATGTAACCGAGCTGCATTTTCATATTACAGATGATAGCGATGCAATGTGCACTTGTATTTTTTTTAGCATGCCATGTTTGACTTAGATGTGACCTTTGAGACAAAATCTGCTGTTGACAGAAAGGAGGCCCCTCTGCAGGTTTTTGTAATAAGTTACCATGTATTCTGTTCTGTGTGGGTGAGCCGGGCAGGAACGCTGTAGAGGAGGAAACATTGAAATTTCTAACCAGCTGCAAAGTTTTTTGGAAGCGGGATGTTTGAGCGGAGGAGGCCCCATGGCCCGGGTAAGCCTCAGCAGAAGGCTGGAGGTTCTGCAGACGCTCAGGTTTCATCTCCAGGGGACAGCCGGCTCATATCAGGAGGGATCTCTTTGTCTGATATTTATGCTGATACTTATTTGCGTCATTGAACGTGACAGCATATCTGGGTGTTGTTGGGTTTCTTTCACGGGTTTATCAGAGAAATAACAGGAAGTTGATTTGTTTTCTTTTTAAAGAAGCAAAGTCCACTAGATTGTTACTGTTTATGACTTTGTGAGGATCCGGAAGGAGGACATTACTCTCAGGTTCAAAGGCCGCAGCCCAAATTAGTTGCGAAGAAGTTCATTAAAATTAGTTAAATTGTATTTACAGTTTCAGTTATTTTAATAATTTCAGGTCTTCGAATGTGAAAATTTCATTTTAGACACAACAGAATACATCGTAAATATAACAAATATAATAAATGTAACAAATCTAAATCTTCACATTTCTGTATACTTGACACAATAAAGTATAATATCACTTGTAAATCTGAAATTGTTGAATCTCTGGCACATTTCTTTCAAATTAATTTATATTTGTTGTTATTGGATTGTCGGAAAAGTCTTTGGATATTTATTGGAACCCACACATATCAAAAAATGCTCAGACAAAGAATGTAAAGAATAGCTAAAAAATGCATTGAATTTGTACAGTATAGAAGTACAAAGCAATTTAAAATATTTAATGATATTTAGATTTTACATAATATGTTTAGTAATTCTACTAGTTATTATTATTATTATTATTATGTTGGTTTTTGTGACTCTTAAATAACTTAAATCAAGTGTTGAAACCACTGTCAGCTCAAGCAATTAGTTTGATAAGGTGCTTTAAAAAGCCCAAACACAGGATGCTGTGGTGTGGTTCCATATAAATAAAAATGCTTTTAAAGTTTTCTTACTTGTGTGATGATGAAGGAGATCCTCTCAGATGTGAAACAGTCCCACCATGCTGAGAAAACTGTCTTTTCTTCTTGGTTTTGTTGTGTTTTTACCCTCTGGCTCGTCTCCTCAGGTGATTGTTAGCAGGTGCAGCATCTCTGTCCCTCCTGGCTTATTCTTGTTCCCCTGTTCTCCACTTAAGCACACACCCTTCTCAAACACACCCACACACACACACACACACACACACCTAAAGCCCGCCCAGCGCAGAAAAGTGCTGCAACCTCTGACTCGTCTCACATGAAATATTTTGTCTTGGTTTAAACTCACACACTTTTTTGTTTGAGTGACGTTTTCCCTGCAGATCTAATATTGAAAAAAATATTGGTGTTTTTGTTTTTTGTCTGTATTTCCTGTTTCAGAATGCCTGTAGGCTGTAACATGAGGGAGAGGGGGATTTAGAGTTGTTTTGCATGGCTTTGTGTATAGTCACAAGCAGTGAATGGGTGCTTGGTCTCCATTCAAATGACCTGAAATTAGGTCATCTAACTAAGACACAACTCTGAGACAAGGATTTAAATGTATTTATTTATTTTAAATTCTTGATTGTGTATTGGTTCAAAACTTTATCTATTTGGTATAAATAAAAATTTGCTGAAATACCTTTTGTAATCAAGCTAAAGTTTCTTAAATAGTTTTATTTGGGGAAGTCAAAATGACTCCACAAAAATAGTGAATCCAGGAACGTATATGTTACATAATATAAGATTTGTGACGTTTATTCTGAATACAATTTATTAAATTGACACTAAATTATGAAAATGAGTTTGTTGTCTTCTTTTTCTTTTAAAATGAACTGGAATCTATCAAAAAAAATAATATTTATCCTTTTATGTGTCGGTGTATTTATGTGAAAGTTGTCGAACTTGGAAAAATGCCAGCCTGTGAGTTGTCGCCCCCTATTGACATATTTTACTTATTGCATTACTTTGGTCACAGACACTAACCAATCAGCTGCAATTGTCAGTATACTTGAGCATGATTGGTCTGTTGTTTCAGCAAAGCTAACCTCGCTTCCTGTTATTGGTTGTACTTCTTTTAACGTGTCATAAACAGTGAAATCCAGATGGTGACCGAAATAATCTGGATTGTAACATTCTAAATTAATGAAGCGGTGAAATATTGGAATTTGGGGGTTTAAAAAGGCGAGAGAGGAATAATGGAGGTGAGCTAAAATCAAATTTCTTTGACTGTAATGTTGTTATCAGATTGTTAGCTAACAACTGCTAGCAGCTACCTATCAAAGTCCAGTTATTCACATTAAATGAAACGCATCCCTAAAGTTTTATAGCTCATGGTGTATTCTGTGTAATTAACTAGTTAGTGTGGATTCCTGTCCTCTGTAACTTAGTTCGGGATGTCCCTTTTTGTTTTAAAAACTTAAAAAAACGTTTAAAAATACATATTGTTGTCTTACCTGTTGCCTCTTTTATACAGAATATTCAAAATCTTCCCATCGATATACAGACCAGCAAGCTTTCAGGTGAGACAAAATACAAAACCTTTAAAAAAGTCAAGTCAAGCCAGACATGCAGTCTGGTAAAGTCTTTTTTTTTTCTTTCTTTCTTTCTTTCTTTCTTTCTTTCTTTCTTTCTTTCTTTCTTTCTTTCTTTCTTTCTAGGAGACTTAAAAATAGAGCTTTTTTAAACACTCAAATGTAAACTATGAATTTATTTGTAAACCAAAGTTTTGTCAACTTTGAAACTTCACACTTTGTTTTGAACATCCTGTCAAAAAGACACATTTTATTTGCATCTCTTTAGCTGAATCTGTGACAAAAGGCAACCATAGCAGAAGATGAATTGACAGATTAGCTGATTGGCAAAGAGCTATCAATCGAAACTCTTTATATTTCAGAACTTTGGACTGTTTTTCCATAAGAAACAGAGGGAACAAATTTGATAAAACATAAAGTGACACAATAAAGCTGAAATCGTCAGCAGCAGCTTTATTAAAGAGACAAACAAGTCCAATACTTTAACAAATAAAATGCCCTTTCCTTCATGAATGATCAAAAATTAGGACTGGACTGAAAATTGTCTAAAGTGATTTAAAGAAAACTTTTGCACCATATATAAACTTAATAAAAAGAAATCTGATTTATCTTACAGTATGTTTATTAGATTATTGTGCAGAACTATGATCAGCTTTTACTCGTCTGTTTTGGTGTGACATACTAACTATAACGCATGACAAATTTCAGTCATACTAAATCGTTCTGTGTGTTTGCAGACTGGCTGCTGGATCGACGTCACTGTAACGTGAAATGGCAAAGTGCAATAAAGACAATCAGAGAGAAGATCAATACCGCCATTCAGGACATGCCAGAAAATGAGGAGATCAAGCAGCTTCTGTCAGGCTCCTGTAGGTTCTTGTGGGTAGCACCACACCTTCTTGTTATTGAAACAGGACTTAAACTATAATATCCTACAAACTATTAAATCATATAAAAAATAGGTTTAAATGGACTTTTTATATAGAATCAATCTGTCTACTTTTTTCTTTGCTTTCTTTAAATCCTCCTCCCATTTTGCATTCCTGCATGTTCACTGACAGACATTCACTACTTCCACTGTCTGAGAATCGTGGAAATACTGAAGGGGACTGAGGCATCATCAAAGAACATCTTTGGCAGATATTCATCTCAGAGAATGAAGGTGGAAACAAACAGCTGTTTGTGTTTCCCAAAGCATGTTGATCTGTCATAAGCTACAACTCCAGTTTGTTTTTGTGCTCACAGGACTGGCAGGAGATTATTTCTCTGTATGAAGCTGATAACGTGTACCTGGGTGAGTGGGTTTCTATCATGCATCTGTAAACACAAGATCAGGGGCCTCATTTATCAAGCTTGCTTACGCACAAAATGGGGTTGGAAAACTGCGTAAGCAACTTTCCACGCAAACTTTGGGATTTATGAAAGGAAACTTTATGAAAAAAGTTTGAGAAAGAAAAAGAAAAAATTATGAAATCCTGCAGCATTGTCACTTGTACTGCTTCATTTTCACACAGAATAAGACCCCCCACACGCACACACACACACACACACACAGCCTGAAGTGCAGAATACGGACGGAGGCAGATTGAGACAGAATGTCATGCGTCTGTGACAGTGTGTGTCCTGTCACTGTGACCCGATAGATCATGCGCCCTGGCTACTTGCACAGGGGAGATCTCTGTTTGGCTGACTGGTTAGCGCGTGTGACTTTCACCCAGGAGTCTGGGGATCAAGTCCCGATTGGACCATTTTTTTTATATCCGCCACAGATCTCTCTGAAGAACTCACAACATTGACGGCTTCAGCAACGCTGTGCCACTACGTGTATTTTCTCTTATTTGTTTTGCAACAGCACTTCCTTTCATTTCTCCACCTCACCCACAAGTACCTCAGTTTCTGCTTCTGTGAAATTGCGCTTCCTTGATCTGCTCTGATCTACGGTCGCCATCGTCATTGGCGGAACGCTGCAACAGCCGGCTTATGTATATGCATGAGATCCACAAGCTACTTTGCATTGACTATTTATGGCAGTAAGTGGGCGTGGTGAGGGCGGGATGTGACTAAAATGCAGCTGAGAAACATTCTCGTTAGTCTCCGATTTATGAAGCGGAGATTGCATGCAGCTGTGCGTACTCCATGTTTGATAGATCACAAACCTACTTGGCGTAAGTACTTTTTTTTTTGCTGAGCTTAAGTACGGTTTTAGTAAGGATTCTACGCAATGTTTGATAAATGAGACCTCTGTTCTGTTCACATGAATAAAAGTTGCTTTTTATTTGAGGTTTTTTCTAAACCAATGCCAACCTGAACAGTTTGTTCGTTTTTTTGCATCAATTGTGTGAAGATGTGAATGAGGTTAATGCACAGAATAGTAAAATCCTTAACGGTGTGTTTGTACATCTCTAGCGGAGGCGGCCAGCTTGCTGAGTCGTAACGTGAGTTATGAAGGGCCGGCTCTCAGGAAACAACTGGCTAAAGCTCAACAGCTGCAGCAGGAACTCAGCAGGCGGGAGGTGGAGTGTCAGAGCTCAGTAGTAGAGCTGAGGGAGCGCTACTACGCTGCCTGCAAACAGTATGGAATCACTGTGAGTACAAGACTCAAACTGCTTTTCAACGGGAAGACACAATGATACTCTGTTGGTTGATTATTTTTCTTCTAACAGGGTGAAAATGTTCCCCGAGAGCTTCAGGCTCTGTTGAAAGACTTACCGGCTGTCCTTGAGGAAGTCGGGAAGGATGCAGCAAAGTTAGAGAAACAAATCCAACTCTACGTTGCTTTCTCAAACTTTGTGTGTAACTGGTGAGTTCATCGTCCACTTTCAGTACCTGCCCAATGCGTTTCCCACATGCACATCTGCCAAGGAAGTAAAGAGAACTAAATCTTAAATGTTTTAAAGGGGCATTATGGAAGTATGACAGCCAAATCATGTATAGAAATAATAAATTTCTTCTTCGGACATTCTCCTGCAATGCCCTGGTCCTGTAGAATGAGCCCTGGCATTTTTACTGTGATTGCCTGTTTTTCTGTAAAATCACAGAAAAAGAGAGATGCTCTGGTCGAGCAGGCTGCTTCATGCGCGTTCACGCTCAGGCATAGCCCGTAGCATTTGCTATCCGTAGCTTTAGCAGCAGAGAGTGAGGTAGTGCCAACTCAGCGACTTTGTCGCTGTTCCTAATGCCTAGTGACAAACCTAGCTACATTTCTGAGGACCCTTAGCTACTTTCTTCTAGATATTTCCTGCAAATTAGCAACAAAATAGCCATTTTCGCTCCGAACCGTTCTTTGAACATTGTTTCAGCTGTCATCAGGAATATAAATGTTACAGATACGAAAGACGTCACTGATGCTATAGCTCACCCAGGAAGACCCGGGTTCGATTCTGGATGTGAACATAGTTTAATTAGAGTTTATTTTTTACATTAATGGTATATTGTTTTACAGTAAGATGCCCAAATTTTTATTTGAGACTCGCAGAACGGCATTGAATTCACAGATAAAAAAGATGTGGGTTCAACTTTCATTTTGGAACAATTTTTCAAGCGAGGGAAGGGAATGATCTGAGCTTGCAGGAAGACTGACCCATCATAAACCTTTGTCGGCTGTGCTGAAGAGAAAGGTACAGAACCAAATTATTTAATTAATTAGCTGCGCGTTCTCCTGTCCTCTGTCCTCCGGGCCACACACACACTCACACACACACACACACACACGGGACTGTCTCAGCTGTTATTTTCGTTAAGAAGTATGCACGTACAGCATGCGCGCCTCGTGCACGAGCCTACTATTGAAGCTGCCGTTACACTTTTGGCCTAAGGGGGCAATCGCGAGCATAAAAATTCAAAACTCCGTAAAGTCCCTTTAAGGAGTTCTGGAATTCAAAATGTTTTCACTTAAAAGCAAGGTTGATTTAGTGATTTTAATTCTTTACAATAAGCATTTTATTTTTGGTACAAGAATATGAGCTGTGTGAATGTTTTGTACACAGTCTAAACCAGTGTTTCCCAAACATTTTAATTTTTGACTAGGCCTGGGACGATAACATTTTCTGGACGATATATTGTCCCAACAAATTATTGACGATAAACAATATTATTGTCGACATTATTGAGACCAAAATAACTTATGTAATGTTCATATGTCATAATAATGCAAGTACACCCTTTAAAATGCAACAATTAAACCTTTATTTAACATTGGAATGTCCAGAACCAGAACTACTAAATAAATAAATAAAACAAACAAAATAAATAAAGTTAAAATATAAAAGGACTCACTCTCTGTTAAAAAAAATATTGCACCAAAAACAATAAAATATATCCTTGATATTTCGAGGCTGGAAAAATTATTGAGTCAATTTTCATCTATCGTACCATTAATTGATTTATTGGTTATCATACCAACCCTATTTCAGATCCATAAAGCTGCAGCAGCAAAGACCCAGGAATAGTAATAATAAATATCACTGCTTGAGCTATAAAAATATTGATTAAAAATCAAAATAAACAAGAACAGAGCAAAACAAAAACAGCTTAAACTCTTTTTAGATCACCTATGTTCATTCATACTATTAGCATTTACAACAGTTATGGTATAAATATGCAGTTAGGGATTATAGCTCAATTTTATTCCAATTCTAGAGATAATTTCAAGACTAAAAATTGTAGTTTCACACCTCGCATTGGGCTCCCAGCCCCATTGATCGTGTCTTACTCTTATCGTTATGTCAAACACTTGTAATCAAATTTGTAGTATTTATTTTCTTTTTGAGTTGATTTCAAAAACCGAAACCTGAGAACCGTAAGTTTATTTATTACCATTCAAGTCATTCTATTCAATAAAGAACGTTCCGATTTAAGACAGTTTGCATTAATTTTTATTCACGTTTGTTTTTATGTTTTCTTTTTCCTTTCAGATTTGTGTTCTCAAGGTATAAAAAAAATGCTGTGATTTAGGGATGTAAGAAAATATCGATTGACAATATATCGTGATATTTTTCCTGCGATATATCGATATTCAAAAGCTGTGTATTGACTTTTGGAAGAATTTACATGCAAACCTTTATGTATTTTCTTGTCTTTTGGTGCAATTCAAATGCAGACAGCTAGTTAGCAGCAGTGTGCAATGGGTTTTGTTTCCACCACTGAAATGTAAATCCCTCTATTATGGTTCAGATACCTGATGTTAAACATGTTGCGTATCAGTTTGGACTGTTTATTGAATTTTCTTACAATAACTTCATTCAAAAAATAAACAAGCTGATATCATCTGGCTGAATGTATCGTAATATGTCGTGATATATTGTTTCTTCTTCCTGTATCGTGATACTTATCGTATCGCCAGAATTTCACCAATACACATCCCTACTGTGATGTTTATTTAACCTTTTGTTTATTAACGTTTTTTATTGTCTTTGGTTACATGATGCGTTATTATGGAGCTGTAGCACCTTGTAGCTCATTATCAGAACTGACATTGAAACATTCAGATTGTTTGTTTTTGGTCCAGTGAGCTCACATGCTGTTGTTTGTAGGTCTGAGCCGGTTCTGCCGATGCTGACGTTTGCACAGAAGAAAGGGAACGTCACATTTTATGAGTGGAAAACTGGCAAAGTCCCGGTGGTTGTTGAAAGGCCGGTCGTGGAGGAAGTAATACCTGAAGCTTTGACAGAGAATACGGTTGGTTTAATCTTTACTGTTTCATGCAGTCGTTGTACCAGAGAAGATTAACCATCTACAGCACATGTGTCAGACACAAGGCCCATGGGCCAGATGTGGCCCGCGGAGCATTTTTATGTGGCCCGCGAGATAAATGTCAAAAATATATTAAAACTGACCCACTGGCTGATTTTACCGCAAAGACTACAAGTCCCATGATGCTTTGCGGTGTTAGCGCGGAACCGAAGCGCCCCCTCCTTTGTGTTTTTTCCATCGTTTGCTGCTGGTGTCTGCAGCTCCGCTGTCTCGGACAAACTAAACTCTCCTCTCACTCAGCGCCGAGTTTACTCAGCTATTTTCCGACGTTGAAGCCCAGAAACTGAGATTTTAACCGCTCAGTAATGTGTTCACGACTGAAAGAGAAAGTTTTCCAACTAACTTGTCTTCCAGACAGAGCAATGTGACCTTTGACTGTTTTAAATATTTACCCAAAACCAGCAGCTTTATCATAACTTGTATTTTGTTTTTACCAGATCGACTGGGGTGATTTTGGTACAGGAGCAGATGGTGATGGGGTAAATGCTGTCGTCGCAGTGGAGGATGGAATAGACTGGGGCATCAGTCTGGATTCTACATCTGAGGTAAATCTCCTGAACATGCCAGTTTAACATACAAACAAGCACTATAGAGCTCCGGACGTCACGTGACTCTCAGAGAGTAGACGCCATGTTGGCAGGCAACAAAGGTAAACAAAATGAACGGGATCGGCTTGGATTTTACTTTGTCAGAGTTTACTTCACACTTTAAAACCGAAGAAATCGTTTTATATAGTCAGAAATTAAATAGACTAAACATCTCCGACCCTTACCGTGCCCCTGGGATACATTTTAAAAATGCCAGAAGCTGTCGGAGCGGACCTGGCCAGGGAACGCCTTGGGATTCCCTTGGAGAAGCTGGCCCTAGTGGCTTGGGAGAGGGAAGTCTGAGCCTCTCGACTTAGGCTGCTGCCCCCGCAACCCGACTCCGGATAAGCGGATGAAAATGGATGGATGGACAAATAACACAGATTTACATGTAAGAAGTTTAAATGCTGTACTGTTTGAAAGTTATAAACTGAACGCCAAGAGAAATCACTAGTCTGATTTTTTTTCCGTGAATAAAATAAATATGTCAGGCATAAATGTTTAAAACAATAAAGTACTGCTTCACTAACCAGTGGTAAAAACCGTGTTTAGGTAAGTATTGGCCTCAGGATCTGTCTGAGATCTGTCTCGGTGAGACAGATAATAGCAATCCAAAGTGCTTTTTATGTGTGATCTGACAATTGATCAACCATTGCTTAAAAATTAAATACATCTTAGCCGGTTAATTGCTGTGATCATAAAACACGTAAACGGCAGCGCGGAGAACTCACAAGGCAACGTTTTACGTGATGTTTACTTGTTGCTATGAGTAATAAGACAGAAAAAGCCACGCCAAAATAAGTTTAGGAAGCCCACTAAGAATCGTAATAAAAGCATTTAAAATAAATACCATACACAGTTGAGGAAATGTTGGTTTAAGTACCTGATATGAAGCGGTCGCTGCATAAGCAAAAACCTTTACTCTCGGGATCCCACAGTTTCATTTTAGCCCGGTCACTAGTGCGTTTTATTGCAACGATCCAACGTTTGCGGCGTTCCAGATCTTGGTGAATCCTGTAGATGGCTCATCCCTTACGTCGTCCGCGTCTGTTCTGCATCCTGGGGCACAACAGGAATCTACCACATTTCCTGTTTGATTGAGTTTTCTAACAATAACAAATAGCCCAGCTGCGGGCTTCTGCCTGCCAAGATGGCGCCGTTTCGATTTGAACTGTTGCATGCCGGGAGAAGTGACGTCAACTCCCGGAGCTCTACATCATAACTAATTACACTTTACATTGTTGAGTCAGTAAGGTGGCATTTCACCCTAGAGTGAATTAATCAGATGTCTTCTTGAATGTTGGGTCTTTTGCTTGTAAACTTTATTGTCTCATACCTGCATGATATTATCATTACTTTGTCACACCTTATTTTTTGTTTGGAGAAAAAGTTTAGGTAAATCTGGTCAAGAGTAAAGGGATTACAGGGAGGAGCAGCATGGAAAGAGGAAGTGTTATCAATGAAAGAAAACTATAAAGTCCAATAATTGAAGGAAGGAATGCATATCCCACCCACTTCTAATGCCAGAGTTTTAAATTGATTTCATCTAGTTGAAGATAATATCTTATGCAGAACTGTAAGATCTCCCATGATCTGTCGTGAATGACTCTCAGCATCAGATTTGACCTCAGCTGTAAAAGTTAGACTCATTTCTATGTTGGCTAATGTAGGTTAGCTGTGGCAGCTACATGAGTTGGGTTAACCCGTTGTAGATAGACGTCCATGATGAATTTTGGAGCACTGAGGTATTTTGCTGACAGACATTTTGACATAGACACGGGCCAAAACATTATCACTGTGTTTCCCCTTTTGGGGTGGATTGTAAACTAGGAAAAGTGAGAAAGATAAATAACATAGCAACACTTAACCTGGTAAATGTCTGTGTTTTGAGAGTGTTGAGCTCAATGGGAACCTGGACACTTGCGGCAGTGTTTAAAGCTCCAAACACCTCTGAATTTCTACCAGATATTTTGTTTTATAAATAAATAAATAAATAATGACTTTTTTTTAACATATTGCATTTAAAATGCATCACTCTATTTAAACTACGAACTCTGTTACAGATAACTGTTGTTCTTTATGAATAAGAATGCTTTTAATGTAGAAAGTGTGACCAAACAAATGAAAAATAACAGGAACCTTTCACATAATTAGTCACCAGACACCTGCATCGAGTTAAAACAAGCAGGATTAAAATATTAAAGTAGAAAATAATCATAAAATGTGAATCTAAAGTGTAAATATAGTTGAAATGTGAGGTTTCTGCTAGATTGTGCTATCCAGATGCTAATCAAACTGTTGTTGACTTTTCTCTATAATGAAACAAATCTATAATCTTTATTTCAGTCAGACTCATGACTATATGCAGGGCTCTGTGGGTCTCTGAGAGACAAAGCTGTAGCAAAGGGATAAATCCTTCCATTTGCTCCATCAGGGCGCTGATGCAGGCGGCATCGACTGGGGCGACAGCAACGTGGCTCCAGTTGAAATCGAGATAGTAGATGTGGGCACAGACTGTGAGTATTAAAATATTAAGAACTAGCATTCAGCATACTCTGAGGCTTTGGGACACAATCAGATGTATTTGTGTTTTAGGTCCTGAGGGTGTTGCGCGGGGGGAGGATGCTCTGAGTTTACTGGAAAACTCTCAGTCACGCAGCCAGTTCATCGATGAGCTGATGGAGGTAGTGATGGGCCTTTACAATGTCCAGTTCTTACACTTATTGAGTATTTACTTATGTCAAAATGTGAGCTCGTAGTCAGAACGTGCAGAAAAAAGTGGAAACCATTTGAGTCAGCAGGTTGTATTCCTAAAGAGAAAACTGCCCAAAGCTTCTCAAGCTTCAAGAGTGTTGGGCTTTTTAGGCGGAAGAATCAGGAAGTGCTCTTCTTTAAATGGGGGATTAAAGAAATAAAAAAACAGCACCCATTTATGAAACAAAGACGAGGCTCTGTTCTGGTTTGAGTCTGTGTGGAACAACAAAATCAGATTCATCAAGAAGCTCTGGAGGAAATCGTATTATCATCTGTCTCTGAAAGCTTCCTCCTCAGCTTCTTCTAGAGTTACAAACACTTTCTAAAAAGGTTGTGCTGAGTAATCAAATGAAGGTGTGGGATTTTTTTTTTCATTTTCTTTACGTTGTTTTATGTTTAATCGGTCTGTGTGTTCTGTCAAACAGAGACCAGCTTGTTTTACTAATATTAGTCGAGGCTCAAATCATAAATGTTTAAAACAATAAAGTCAGTTCACTGCTTCACTAACCAGTGGTAAAAATCGTGTTTAGGTGAGTGTTGGCCTCTTTTCTAACCATTAATATTTGTCAACAATTATTTTTGTCTTCCTAAAACAAGACAAAAACTGTCCACCTCTTGCTCATTTTCTAAGATGTTTGGCAGAGGTTGAAACAGAAAATCGTTTTAACCCAACGTCACGAGCATGGGCGTAGTTTAGAATTTTTTTTTGGGGGGGGGGGGTATGGGGGGGGTTTACAGTAAGTATACAAACATATGTTTAAAGCTGCAGCCTAGAAGCTTTTATGTAATGTCTGGAATGCAGAACTGTCAAGTACACAGGTGGCAGGAACGAGTATCAGCAGAGCCAGTAGATGAGCTTATGGACAGTTCTAATGAGAAGCAGGCTTCAACACAAGCGGTTGTTTTCCGCTTGGTCCTAGTGCTCAACCAAAATATTGTTATTGCTCGGTAAATAGTGCAGTGGACAAAAATGTACTTTTACTATGTCCATAGTCAGGAGAGATTAAACCAATTAGGTCCTCTCACAATAAGCCATATGACTTTTATAATGGATTTTATCTTGAACATTTTAGTTATTAAAACCACATTTTTCTCACTCTCTTTTCCTTCTGTCATGCTTTAGCATTTTAGCCACTAGCATCAACGTAAGCTGTTAGCATTTAGAGCAGCGAGTGTTCGTCTGAAGGTCAAATATAGTATCTGCATGCAGTCTGAGACTCTTTGATTTCTTTGCTCACAGTGAAACTTTGATGGTGATGAACTCTTGATATACTGTGCAGTTCCAGAGCAAAGTGAGACAAAAAGTGAGATAAAAATAAAGATACTAATTTTTATTTTATTTCTATACTGTTTTTTTAAAGAGCCAGACATCATTGTTATTGTAGTAGAAATCAGGAAGTATTTCCTGGATGTCCAGTTGACATCAGTTATGTAGGATCTATCTTACAATGATCATTGTTCCTTCTGAAATGAAAATATTTTAATAATAACCTGACTCTGTTCGTGGTTCTGGTATTGTTTTTTTAAATTTTTTCCCCCAGCTAGAGACGTTCCTCACCCAGCGCATCTGTGAGATGGGGGAGGAGGGTGATGTGGTGGCTATGAGCCAGTTCCAGCTGGCCCCCTCTGTCATCCAGAACCAGACCCAAGGACACGTCCAGGACATGCTGTCTCAGGTGCAGGACCTTCTGGGTCGGCTCACCTCTCTGCGGATGCAGCACCTGTTCACAATCCAGGCCTCACCCAGGTATCACCTGAGCATCTGCATCACCTACAAGCTGAATTTGGGTCTTCAAGACATCAGGAAATGTATCTAAAGGAGCATTTTACAGCAGGAGGTGTAATAAAAGACTAATCTATCAGCATTCATTGAGACACTAATTTTTATATATTTATTTATGGACATAGTAAAAGTACATTTATGTCCACTGCACTTTTTACCGAGCAAAAACAATATTACGGTAGAGCACTAGGACCAAGCAGAAAACAACAGCTTGTGTTGAAGCCCGATTCCCATTAGAACTTACTGTAAAGAACCCCCACCACCACCACCACACACACACACACGCATACACACACACTTCTAAAGTCAAAACTACGCCCATGTTGTTGTGTTTATGAACATGTGTGTTTGACCTTTATTTTAATTTTTAAGCATCTCAAATATCTTTTACACATTACAGTTGTGCTACTTTTAAAGGGAATGTCTTTAAAATCAAATTTGAGAAAATATTTTACTCTAATTACTGAAGTTTCACAGCAAAATGTAAAAAAATTAAGACTGAAAATTGTGAATTGCAACTGGGTGGTAGTGGATCAGTGGGTAAAGCGGTTACCTATTAGTGGTTTAATCCAGGCTTCCTCACCACATGTTGAAGTGTCCTTGGGCAAGACACCACTCCATATAATCCCTTCAGTTTGTGAATGGGCTTTGTAATTAAAAGCTCTATGAGTGGTTGAAAACATTTCAAAAAGTGCAATATAGACATAGTATATTTACAATTTTACTATGACAAATGTGCAAATGTTATCATTTATATTGCCTACATTTGGTCTTATCGATATTTTACTAATTCCAAAAAAATAATTATGCTTGTTATTATTTTTACGTGTGTGTTCAGGTATGTTGAGCGTGTATCAGAAATGCTGAGACAGAAGCTGAAGCAGGCAGACATTCTGGTGCTGAAAGCCGCTACCATGGCTGAGAAGAGGCAGGAGGCCCTACAGGAGCAGTGCAGGCTGGAGCCTTGTGTTGACCTGCTGGCAGGATGCACCCGGGAGCTCCAGAAACTGGTATTACATTACTTTTACTTTTATTAATGCTGAGGGTGGGAGGGACTTTCCACTGGGAAAACAAAACAGAAAATCAAAACCCCATGTCACAAGATCTGTCTTAAAATAGAGGGAGGGGAGCCTAAAGAAGGAATATAGAATAAACTACAACCTCAGTCACTTCTATAATAACAAAGTATCATCATTTGTTATGACTGATTATTTGCTTGTTTTTGCAGATTGAAGCAGACATTTCTAAGCGATACCACAACAGACCAGTCAACCTAATGGGAGTCAATATTTAGTGATGTTCACCTGAATATTTTGTCATGATTGACAGAGAAATAAAAATGGTATTTAATTTCAACTCATGTATTTTTGTGTTTTATATATGCATATAAAACAAATATAAAAGACAGCTGATCATTTACAAACTTTTGGATCAATTGTAAAATAAATGGCCTTATATATGGTGTTTATGTTTACATATTTTTTAATTATTACAAAATGTTAGTTTGCTTTTATGTTTTGTCCAAACTCCAGGCCAGACCAATGACTAGTACAACATATTTTATGTTTTTATTCATAAAAACTTGAAGATGATGCAACAGTTGTGTAAAAATGTCAACATTTATGGTGATGGGCTAAACTCACATCTTCTGCCTAAGTCAATTATTTGTACAATAAATAAAAAATATGTTGATCCTAAATTATTTCTCTTGGTAAATTCGTTTTAGTTTTTTTTCGGCAAATAATTGTAGAATAAACTCATAACTCCGTGTTCTGAGAGGAGGGGATTTTCCGTTGGCTGATGAAAGCTTAACACTAGAATGTTCTACGCATGCTCTGTGTGTGCGCGTGTTTTCGCTAGAGCTAGGGTAGGCTAACCGGCCCAGCTAGTAATTTTGCAAGTCATGGAGGGCCATTTAATGAGGAAAGGCTGGATAAAGCTTTAACAGCAACCTCAGTGGAACTGCTAATGAAACCAGGCTTGATGAAGGGTTTAAGATCATTATGAATGTGCGGCCATGAAGACACAGCTGCTAAGTTTGGCGTAAGTATGAATTAAGATGTTTTATTTAAATTATCGCGTGCGTTTATATATGGTCCCTAGTGTTTCATGGTAACACTCCCATCAGTGGGTATAATTAAAGTAGTATTTGTGGTTTAGTTGCTGGATACATTTTGTTGACCGTACAAGTTACTTTTAAAAGGAGCCGGATGGTTAAGTTAGATAGCAGCAAACTAGCTCGCAGGGCTAGCATAGTAGGGTTTGACTTGCATTTGATTGTGTCTCTAAATCCCGCCTGTGCTTGTTTCGTACTGGCGGAGACGGGCTGGAGTCATGTGACGTCGCTACCATTGAAGCCTGTAATTGGCTGAGCTATGTGTCGATCGTGTTTTCACCACTTGTTGCTAGGGAGATTGTTTGATATCCTCGGGGGCGAAAGTAAATATTAGCAGGCGCACCTGTCACTTTTTGAGCTAAGCAGAGATGCGAGACTATAACTTAATGCTGCGGCCCGTCTCCTCATTGTTACTTCATGTTGATGAAGATGGTGTGTATACATATATATGTATAATTGTAGGCGGCTTGTAAACTATGAGGTAGCTAACAGCTATCGTGGTTAGGACAAAGATAGGCGCAGCTGTGCTTGAGGAGGGAGGGACCCAGCCTGCCGCCTATCAGCTATCTGTGGTGCGAGCCAGAGCCAGTCCAGCGAGCTTTCTCGACTCCCATTCACCTTCAGCAGCATCCACCAGAAGTAGTTGTCCTGTCAAGGGTGGGGTGATGCATTGCTCTGTTTTTATCATGTCTGCTCTGCGGAATATCCAAGAATGAAGAGGCACTACGTTGTTACTTCGTTTCTCCTGTCTTGGAACGATGAAGTGGTTTCAGTGGGCGAGCAAGTCCTGCTTTCTTTTTTCTTTAATTTACATGGTTTAATGTGAATGTAGGTAGCATCGAATCGCGAGTTTAAAGTAAAATGACTGTTCAGTGTGAGCTGATGTAGATTGTAACGTTTACATTCTTGTTTTCTTCTCAGAAACTGGAAAATGAGAACCTTATGAGGAACATACCCTGAGAAGTGGAACCTGATTTTGGATCTTAAACTCCTCTCAAACTTACTTTTGAAGACCCCTTTGCCCTCTTCAGTCACTTTTATGTTTGTATTTCTGTTTCCCTCTTTTAGTGTTAGCAAAGATTTATTGATCAAAGAAAGTTGGCCCAATTTTCATTTTTATCTTTTGCTTTTATTTTTTGTTCCGTTGTAAAGAAATGCTTTACCTGAAAAAGTACTTCACAGAGGGCCTGATTCAGTTCACCATCCTTCTGAGTCTCATTGGGGTGCGGGTGGACGTTGACAGCTATCTCAGCAATCAGTTGCCCCCATTAAGAGAGATCATCCTGGGGCCTAGCTCAGCCTACACCCAGACACAGTTTCACAACCTCCGCAACACGCTGGACGGTTATGGGATCCATCCAAAGAGTGTGGACCTGGACCATTTTTTCACTACCCGACGGCTGCTAAACGAGGTGCGCCAGCTGGATCGCCTCTCTGTGCCCAGTACTGAGCTCAACACCTGGCTGGTGCATCGTGACTCTGAGTCTGTAGTATCTGCCAGCAGTCAGTCCAGCTCCAGCATAACCCTGGACAATGGGGCCGGCTTAGAGGACATTAACAACATTGAAGTTACCCCGGCCATGAGGGGAGGAGGTGGAGCACCTGAATCTACATACAACTTGAATGCAGCCGACAGCGGCCTGGGAGCTGGGGCCCCAGAAGAAAACCAGGAGCAGGGCAACAGAAATGGCAACGACGACCTCACCAAAGAGGTACATCTTGATGTTTGTAGCTTCTCTCTGAAGAGCATTGGTAAGCTAGAAGGAAGGCAGTGGTATGTCTGTCACTGCAGGCCAAGCACACTTGTTATGACTGATTTAGAGAAATAAAAATATTTTATGTAAGTGACACCATTTAGAGTTGAAGTTCACTTCCAAGGTAAACAATAGCTTAAAATGTCACAAACCCTAAATGATCATAAATTGTTAATTCAGATGAAATCATTTACGGTCCACACCCCTGGTCTCTTTTGTTTTTTTTTCCTTCTATTGGTGTCAGATATTTTTAGTCAAACCAGTTGAGTCACATTCATCTCAGCTGGGCACATTTACTGTCCAAAAGGGTGGAACTTTAAAACGCTCAGCTCAAAGGTTGTTCAAATTAATGTTATTGCTGTTCACACACAAAATGGCCAAATGGACAGTTTGGTGTCACACAAAGTCACATGTTCATTTATTTTTGATCACATGATGACCACCATGCCAAAGTGTTTATATCATGGTGGCGTCATCTGATTTGTGTTTCGTGATCTGTTCCTATGAGATTATTTCAGCTCTGAGGAAAAATACAAAAGTACTCTATCTGAGCTTTCTCCTGACCAAAAATAAGTAACTCAGTTTGTTTGTAACAAAGATTTTGGACTTTATTCAAGAGTGATTTGGTTTTCCTAACAACATCTCTTTTCTTAAGTGTATAGGGTGGTTTTCTAGTCATTCTTGTGTCTTTTTCAGGACATTGACTTGATTGACATCCTATGGCGACAGGACATTGACCTTGGTGCAGGAAGAGAAGTGTTCAGCTACACCAACCGTCAGAAGGAGACCGAGGAAGAGAAGTCCAACCCTCAAGAGGACAAAGATGGAAAAGAGGAACAGGAGAGCTGGAGGAATGGCGTAAATTTACAGGGAGCTAAGCCGGTAGACGGGGAGACGGGAGAGAGCATACAAGAGCAGGTTTGTTGGGACTAAACACATCCTTATGGGCTCAAGAATTATTATAATGATGTGGAATTATTTCCAGTTAGTTAGTGGGTTTCAGTGGAAACATTTAGCTGAACATTTGTATCAAATGTGTATAGATAGCTTTTTTTATGATTGCATCAACCAAGGATTTATTTATTTTTCCCAAGAAAGAAAATACTCCTGAACTTACGAGATCCAAGCAAGTTTAAATTGTGTCTTTAGGTACATTTTTACTGCTTAAGTACCGCCCCCTACCAGGGCAGTTCCCTGGGGTAAATAGTGGAAATACAGAAAACTCCCCAGGTTTCCAAAGCGGTAACCTGCCTTCTCAGTTTGTTTCTATTTTGTGTTTGTCTATGAAAAAAGCCAAAGAGAAGGCATGATGCAGAGTTTAGCACTAATTTTTAAAGAATGTATGGCCGCATAGCTGAACATTATTTTTGAGTTGACTAAATGCTAGTCAGCTGTAGATGTACATCCAGTGATTGATTCACTTCTGTGCAGTGGTACATGAGACATCGTCCTGATCAACACACAGACAAAAGAATTATCAGCCACCTTTCAGCAGCAGGTGTCATTGTTTTCATCTCATCGTAAACCAGCCTGTTCTTCAGCTTAAAAAGACTCAAACACTGCCTCATGAAGCAATTTCAAAGACCTTCTTGCATAATAGTTTGAAATTTCATTCCTACACATGCATCCTTGTGATGCAGCTGATGATGCAGATTTAGAGTTTAGATGGTTGCTGAGACAAGTTCTTAATTTGTAAGGAAAAGCGAAAAGCACAAGAACAGGTTTTATTTTCATTTTTATTATTTGAGGTTCGTCGGGTACCCCTGTAGCATGTTGCGCGTTCTTTCTGTTGCCAGCTGCCAGGTCTTGGCTCACAGACTTCACTGTCACTACAGGAGTGCTTGAGACTGTTGGAGGCCACGTTCCCATTTGGAGAAGAAGCCGAGGTAAGATTGGAACATCTGCAGATGTGTGCTTTGTAAGCGTTACTGTGGATTTAACCTTTTTGGTGTGTTTAATTAGTTCCCAGTTCCGGTTGTTAACCCAGAAATTCCAGTTACCAGTGAAGAGGCTCCTTCCACGTCTCAGGGCCTCCTCCTGGCACCACAGCTTCCTCCAGCCGAGCCTCAGTTAGACCTGGAGCAGCAGTGGCAGGACATCATGGCCATTATGGAGCTGCAGGTAAGAATGACTTGTTTGGAAAAACATTTCTGTTGGTAGTTTTGGAATCTAAATTCCAGATTTTGGAAACAAAAAATTCAAGGAGAGTAGATAAGTTAAAGGGGTGTCTTTTCAAGTTTACTGATGGATAGGGTGGTAAATTTTTAATGGTGACAAAAATAAACATTTAATATACTGTTTCCACTCTTTCTTCAAAGGCAATGGAAGTGAACAACACTTCGCTCCAAACCACCTCCAGCAGTGGAAGTCCCACTAACGGAACGCCTGAGCCCAACCCCGCTGGAACCTTTGGGCTTTCCACGCGTTCAACACCCATAAACCAGGACGTCAGCCTCCACCAAGCCTCCCTCCCCAGCTGCAGCCAGGACTTCCCACATGTTTTCACCCCCCAACTGGACTCTGTTAGCAGCACTCCAAGAACGAGCATGCTCAGGCTTTCCTCCAGCAACTCCACCAACATCAACTCCACGTTTGGAGCCACCAACCTGACTGGGATCTTTTTGCCCCCAGTAAACAGTTCTAGTAACATTACATCCACCCCTAACCTGTCCGACCCATTCACCACCCTGCTGGAGGAGTCCATGCTTGATGAAATCAGTCTGCTGGACCTGGCCATGGAGGAGGGCTTCAGCCAGGCCCAAGCCTCCCAGCTGGAGGATGAACTTGACTCGGATTCTGGTCTCTCCCTGGACTCCAGCCACAGCCCGGCCTCCCCGAGTAGCTCTGAGACGTCTTGTTCATCTGCAGCTTCTTCCTCCTCAACTTCGGCCACCTTCTCTGAGGAGGGGGCCGTGGGCTACAGTACTGACTCTGAGGTGGCCACTGCAGAGACGGAGGAGGGGGCAGTCGGGGGTTACCAGCCTGAGTTTAGTAAGCTCTGCCGTATGAGCTACCAGGACCCGTCCCAGTTCCACAGCCTCCCTCAGCTCGACGGCATCAGCCACAACCACACCTACAACCTGCCACTCTCCTCCGCCTTCTCCGAGCACCCAGAGCTTCCCGTTCCAGTTGGGAAGAAGACGGCTCGTGACAAACACAACTCAAAGCTCCAGCCTTCTCAGGACCTGCTCGACAAACACGCGAGTCGTGATGAGCGGCGAGCCCGGGCCATGAAGATTCCTTTCTCCAATGAAAAGATCATCAACCTCCCTGTTGAAGAGTTCAACGAGCTCCTGACCAAGCACCACCTGAGTGAAGCCCAGCTGGCCCTCATCAGGGACATCCGCAGGCGTGGCAAGAACAAGATGGCTGCCCAGAACTGTCGCAAGCGCAAGCTGGAGACCATCATTAACCTGGAGCAGGGCGTTCATGACCTGAGACGCGATAAGGCCCGTCTGCTGAAGGAAAAGATGGAGTTCATCCGCTCCATCCGGCAGATGAAGCAGAAGATGCAAACTCTGTGCCAAGAGGTTTTCAGTCAGCTACGGGACGAGGACGGTCGGCCATATTCCTCTAGCGAATACTCATTGCAGTACAGCGCCGACGGCAGCGTGCTGATCATGCCCCGCAACGTGACAGCAGCTCAGCAGAACCGTAAACCCGAGAAGAAACAGAAAGACAAAAAGAAGTGAGGGCGGACAGATTCCTGTTTATTTTATCACTTTGCTAAATCCGTAAGAACGGTTTGCGCAGATAAGAGAGAGGTGCCCTTTTCCTTTAAGAAGATTCTGTTGAGGAGAAAAAAATGGCGTTGACTTCACCTCCTGCGTTAGTTTCCCCCTTTTCATTCTGTTCCTACAAATTTTCCTGGAAACGTCTCTGAAGCAGAAATAGCTCTTTGTTTGAGTACCAATGTTTTATTCTTTAGACAAGAAAAGGAGGAGTATAAAGGACAAAAACCGAGCTACTAGAAGAAGAAAAAAAATAGCTGCTTTTGTTCCTTTTGCACCAAACCACTAAAGATGGAGGTTTGTAGGGTGAAAGACGGGCTGCTGTCGAGAGACATGGAGATTAATGAACACCGGAGATGGTTGGAATACCTATGCACCGATGGTTTAAAGGACTATCAGATCCCATCCCATCCTGGAACCTTAGTGGTAATTATTTTCCTTTTATAATTACCAATGCTTTTGAGTTGCAGATCTTCAGGCAGAGCATCATCTACAGTTGTGAGGGTTAAAGATACCAAAGGCTAAAGAAGGCCATTGCTTTAGGATGCCATTAACACCTTTACTAACCAAAGGTTGGTCGGTTCATCCCCTGATCTTTTTGATACAGAAGCGCTCAGACACTGCACTCTTGTTCTCTAGGTTTCTACTGCTAGTTCTAGTATTTGAGTCTGTTTGTTGGTGGCGTCTAGGTTTTAAAAGCCCCTAAGAGAATCAGCATTGACGTTTGCACATCTGATGTTGGGATGGGAAGTGGGAGGCTGAGCATTGTCCGGCTGCTCAGAAGCCTGGAGGGGTAAGTCCTGCAAGAGGAGCGGGATGTTTTTGGGGCGGAGGCCCACTGCGTTGCAAAATGTATTAACTTCCTTATAAATTATACATAGCACTGTAATTTGTCTTTAAAAGGCTTGGCTGTATGCATTTTGCCATGTCTGTTGCTGTTCCTTTGCTGCAGGTTTAAATACGGGAGCTGCATTTACGAAGGCTCTTATAAACTGTTCATAATCTGTAGTATAAACAAGGTTATAGGTCTGTCATCAGCCTCTCCCGTTCGTTGGTAAAGTGGAGCTTTTAACCACGAGGAGCTCCAGAAAGTACTGTAATGTTTCAGCCAAGTCCAGCCGTCACGGATCACGTTTGTGGGTCGTTTTCTTCAACATGACGCCGGCTAAGCTGAATCCGTAGCGTAGGCAAACGTATTCCATTAAACAAACTCATTTGCCAACTTTATCCAGCCGAAAGCCACTTTTTTTTAAACTGCTGTAAAGCCGAGCCGTTGGCTTTGATGTTACAAGTCCTACATTTAAGTGTTTGTGTTGACAGAGAGAGCCCTGTTAGATGAGATCAAAGTTAAGAATGTGTGTGTGGCCACTTTAATATGAATGCCTTTATTTAATAATAATCTATCTAAAGGGTTTGAGAACAGTCAGAACGTTCTCAGAGTAGAAGTGCTGTTACTCGTCTGTCTGAATGAAGTCTGTCGGTGCGTGCGTGTTTTATCGCTTTCCTAAAAAACTGGATCTGTTGTTGCAGCTTAGGTTCAAATATTTACTGGAGGCTGAACAGATCAGCATTAAGACATCGTTCCAAAAAGATTTGAAAGGAGAATTGTTCTTAATGTGATATTCAGGCATGAATCTCTGGTTCACTTTAACGTAACCCAGTGCAACACAAATCATTAAGTACTGCTACTAATTAGTGCACTTTTCTGTCTGTCTTGTTCTGTAAATATTTTCATGTTTGTGTTCGTTTTGATTCATGTAGTTTGTCAGATGTCTCCATAACAGGCTCACTATTGAGTTTGGATGTAGTTCCCCGTTTTGAGACATGTACCGGCAATCAAATTGTTTCTATTGATTAATAAAGTTTTTATTTTCACCTGTGACCCTAGTGCTGCTCGTCCATGCTTTACCAGGTAGATGCATCCATCAGTCTGTCTGCACTGATAAACATTCCAGGAGACAATATTTTAACAAAAGTGAGTTTATTTTTTAAAAAGTGACGAGCAAGACAAAGAAAACAACTGAAGCACAATGGCCTAAATGATCCACAGAAACAGATTCATAAGCCAACACCAAACGAGTGAGGAGAGCTGCTAACGGTTCCCTCTGAAAAGCACCAAATAATCTGAATTTAAACATGTGGCACAGTAAATAACACCACTAAGGACTAATCAGTGTATCATTTATTCTTTTCAATGTAATTACCAGAAAAATGACATTTGTCAATCATGAAAAAAAAGTCCTGATTAGTGACTTGTATTTTTTTGCTTCTCTTTAAAAAATGAAAACAAATGGATTTTAAGCGGTAACATTTTGTTGCTGTAATTATACTTTTGAGTATTTAGTCACAAATGTTCACTCAAACATGGATGTAGTACCTTCATTTGTACAACTTAGTTTAATTTACATAATTTCAAATAAGACTTGCTGGATTATCTCACAAGCTCATTTTCAAATGAAAACATCACCTGAATACTCTAAAATTAGCACTGGAAACTATATGAACCCATTACTTCATCCACACCCCTTCGAACCAAAGTGATTCCAATTACAGCAGAAGTGTCGGTCCAAGCCAACAGCAACACTCTGCCTTACAGAGAAAAGAAAACATGATACACGGACTGGAAACAGTACCAAAAGCATCGGGACTGGAATGTTTACTAAAGATTAACACTGTTGTGTTTAACCAGGAATGTCAAGCAAATCTGAAGCATATATATATATATTTAGATAACATCCACATAAAAGTAGAATCAGGTGAGTGATAACTACACCAAAAGACAGATGAATGCACAATGTCTTGCTGGTCTTTCCCTACCTGCCACTCCACATCTGACCCTCCCCCCCAAAGTACAATGAAGTTCAAAACTAGTTCTCTCTCCACTGACCCTCTGCCTCAACCCTTAGTTTTTATCATCTTTCTTCTCGTCTTCAGAAGGGTACGAGTGCCAAGTCAGTCTCTCTTCGTAGAAGGAGATCACCACCTGTGGACACTTCACATTAGCCTCTTTCGCCGGCACCAGATCCGCTTCATCTGAGTTTTTCCTGAACAAAAAGTTTTTTCATGTCACATTTCATTCCCCAAGAAAAGGATGAGATATTTTTTTACAACACAGCAGCTACAGACCATTTCATGAGGAACATGAGTTCTCCTGTGGAGTCTGTGGCACCGATGATTCGTTCAGGCTCCAGGCCTCGAGCAAAACCCCGTAGCTTCTCATTCTGAGGAACAAAGTCAGTCAGTCAAACAGGTGAGGTATCACGCTATTGAGGGAAACAAATCCTATGAGCAGAATTATGCAAAAAAAAAAAACATCTGGAACAAACAGAGTTGTAGGTTTTATTTTGGAGAAGCTAAAACAGTGTGTAGAGCTATCATGTCCACAACTGCATTAAGTAATGTTATAATTTTTTGCACAACCCATGTATTATTTACAATCTTTGAGAGATTTGTGCAAGTTTCGCCTGAAGTTATTTTATGACAAACCTTTTTGTTATGAAGACTTTTCCTTAAATCTAATAAGAGGACACTTTTTTCCCTTTTAGCCTTCTGGGCATTTGCAGAATAGTTTATTTTAAAATTGTTTGATTTTGAATGAATCTCTTTATCCACAGTTGTTAAATGGAAGCTTCACATCTGTATTACAGTTGAAGGTTTAATGCACTCAAAATACCATCAAAGTCAAACAAAGGACCTCCCCTTGTCTCTTTCCAAGCTCTATCATTTGATCTGATTGAAAATATTGTAGGATTAAAAAAGCACCAATTTTTAAGGGCTCAACAAGAATCCAGCCACGATGAGGTGCTTTGCAGCGCTGCAACTACAAGCTGTTGAAAAATCATTAAGTAACTATTTCTTATACATTGTTCCAACCTGCTCCTCCAAACCGATAGCCACCTGTTGCAGGTAGAAGTAAACCACTTAAATCCAAACTATTAAGGCCAGGGTGACGCTATTTAACCTTAAGGCGGTGACGTTAGTTTGGTCGGACCTTTCCTTTGTCTGCTTCAGCTCCTTCAAAGCTACACAGGCGGCAGTCCAGCATTCGACTATTCAACATCCCTTAAGAGTCCACCTTCATTCCGATTGGTTGGTTTTCATTCAGGCATCATGGACTCTTCAGAGAACTAGGAGCAGCCAGACAAACCTGAATTTTTTTGTATACGCTGAATATTTTGTTTTTGGGGATAATGGCTAAAGCTTGGTTTATGCTTGACGCATTTACTTTCCACTTGGTAATGCGGCTCGCGGATGGAACGCACTTCACAACTCGCAGCGTTTATGGTTCATGCGGCTTGTCTCTGCGGTGAGCCAATATTGTCCCAAACTGAACGGGGCAGCATGGAGCTCTACGGCATGCATCCAACACTACACCATAGTAGAAGTAGAAATTACTGTTTACAACATGGCATTTCAGCATTTTTAACAGCATCCTCGTCTTTTCCGACAGTGCGAGCTATTTCTCTCCAAGAATTATTAACAACATGTTGATCACGGTGATCTTTGAGAGCTGAATCATACAAATGTCTGTATTTACGAACCTCTGCCATACTAGTTCTTGCCAGTCCGCCATGTTTTTCCACGTCCGACCGTCCGCGTGGTTAGAAAACTTCCTAGGTGCGCGGTGCGGAAAGTTTGGGCCGTGCAGAGGCGCGGTGGAGGGGCGTGGTTGTTAACATGACGCAATTTCGCCACGCGGAGCCATGCGAACCTCGCGGACGCGTCAAGCATAAACCAAGCTTAAGATACACCTGAGACCTAAACAGCTGTTTCAATGTGTAATAAACTGTTGTTATTAACTCCTTATTGAGTAAAATAATCACAATTGTGATTTTTCCAATAAAAACAAACCTGACAAACAGACAATTTTATGATATATCAGATTAACAAATGAGTAAATAAAGTAACTTGTACTCACATCTTCTTTTTTCTTTTTTGATTTATTTTCATCCCCATCTGCTTCTCCAGCTGCCTTCCTTTTGCCCTCATGAGCAGTTTTATGAGTCTGCAGATATTCTGCGATCAGATCTGGACAGTCTAAGTTTTCTTCAGGCTCCCAAGTGTTATCTTCCCTGCAGAATCAAAAACATGCACATTCATTATTAAAAGCATCTTTATGATTTTTAGTAATTTGTGTACACACACCGCGAGAAGACAGAGTAGGATGAGAAGAATTGCAAAGTTCATCTCATCAAAGTTCTGTTTGTGTTTTCTGCTGCAAACCATCAGACTGAATATCTAAAATTCTCTCTCCAAGTGTCAAAGTAACTGGTTTAAGTTAGGGCCTGACCGATATATCTGCCAGCCGATATCATCAGCCGATATTGGGGTCATTAACAGTATCGGCTATTGGCCAAAAAGACGGCCGATATGGCCGATATTGCGCTAGCTATCCAGCAGATGGCGCCAGATTTATGAACTCATGTTGTGTGGCTCCACTCCTTTGAACTTTGAACACAAATTATTGTTTTGGAACTTTATTTATTTATTATTTATGTTTCTTATGTGCAATTATTTCCTGTCCAGGGTAAATAAGTTCACTAAGTTAATTTCCACAGAGTGTTACTTTGTTACAAAGCACAAGTATTACGTTTTATTTATTGCTGCATTTTTATTATTTTAATATTCTTATAGGGATCTTCTGTCCCTAAACTTGTGTGTGTTGTTAGATTCCCCAGAGTAGGGCTGCACAATATATCGTAAATATATCGTTATCGCGATATCAGCATGCACAATATGCATATCGCAAAGAACAGATAAATATCGCAATGAATGGTCAGCTCAAATGTTTGCTACACATAATGTATTCTGTCAATCAAACGGAAGCAAGATGTTTTTTTAAACAAATCAAATAGAGCTCTTCACCCATTTGGCCAATTGGGTGGGTTCTCATGGGTTAGATGCCCGCCCCCGAGGCGGACACACTTCATTTAGATGGTTAGCAAATACCTGAGTTAGCTTTGTCCTGCTCTTTCTGCTGATTCTGCTTTTCCAGGGATCCACTGATTGCCTTTCCTTTTCCCCTTTCCTCACATCTTTTGCTTTTCACATTTTTTATGATTTTTTTATTTCTTTGTTTTTGATTATTTTTGTTCCCGAGTTAAGTTTTTAATTTATCGCAAGCAATATCGTCATCGCAAAATTAATCATTGTTATCGAATATTGCAGGTTTTCCTAATATCGTGCAGCCCTATCCCAGAGTTAGCCAAGTCAGAAAAAAAACATTTTGTAACCAGTTGTTTTGGCATAAAGCAATGGAAAGGAAGGCTTGCATTCACCTACATAAAAAATCACTACAATGTATGTGAATTCACTTACACTGTTTTATGCTAAACTAAGAAAACCAACTGCTGCCAGATCATATTGGGCTGGTTATAAAATGCTTTTTCTGACTTGTCTAACTCTGAGGAATCTTAACAAGACACAATTTTACGGAGTGTATTCCTTTAAGTTAAAATGTATTTGTGGAAACCACAGTTTACAAGAAAAAACTTGAATGTTAGATTTATGCTGTGACTGAGTTTGTGTGTTCTGTTGTTTTTGAGATCTGCTAAATAAATCTTATTTGCATTATGTTTATGTTCATGTATTTAGCAGACGCTTTTGTCCAAAGCGACTTACAAGTGATAATCGGCATATTGCCCTTGAGGCTAACAACAACAACAATCATTGACATCAGTCATGAAGAGGAGGGAACAAGGAGTGGACAGTAGAGAGGGGGGACGGGCGCAGGCAAGGTGCTAGTTAAGAAGATGCTCTCTGAAGAGCAGGGTCTTCAGGAGTTTCTTGAAAATTGAAAAGGAAGCCGCAGTTCTGGTAGTGCTTGGAAGGTCATCCCACATTTGTGGAACGATGCATGAGAAAAGTCTGGATTGTCCTGAGCATGGTGTAGGCACAACACCCAGATTTCGAACTGCCTTTGAAGGAGCCAGAGATAGGAAGTCATTATGGATTGAGATATTGTGCTGTATGGATGGTTTTGCTGGGATGACAAGTAATTCAGTTTTAGAGAGGTTGAGTTGGAGATAGTGGGATTTCATCCATTTTGATATGTCAGAGAGACAGTTTGATATTTGTGCAGAGACAGTGTGGTAGTCCGGTGGAAATGACAGATAGAGCTGGGTGTCGTCTGCATAGCAGTGGTAGGAGAAGCCATGTGATCGAATGATCTCACCCAGTGAGGTGGTGTATATGGCAAAGAGAAGAGGTCCTAGTACAGAGCCCTGGAGGACTCCTGTGGCAAGATGGTGCACGGTAGAGGATTGTCCAAGCCAAGATACACTGAATGATTGTCCTGTGAGGTACGATTCAAACCAGGCGTGTGCTTTCTCTGTAATGCCCATGCTAGAGAGTGTGGACAAAAGGAAGCCATGGTTGACAGTGTCAAATGCAGCCGATAAGTTGAGCAGGATAAGCACTGAGGATTACTTGGAAACCCTAGTGAGTTATTGAGACAGTTCTTTGGTGTGTAATAGAGAAATAAGTTTTCATCAAAAAGGCAGAGAATGAAGGGTTTAAGCTTAAGAAAAATTGTATTTCTTTTTTTGTGAGGGAGATTTATCGGCCATTATATCAGCTATCGGCCTTTGTTAGAAGTTTTATATCGGTATCGGTCCCAAAAATAAGCATATCGGTTGGGCCCTAGTTTAAGTGTTTTCCATTAAATCAATTCTAGTATAGTTTAGGATGGCTTGGGTGCTAGAGCAAGTTTTTAACTGGTTTTAGGGGGAAAAAAAACATCTAAGAACTTGTTTGTTTCTCTGCAGAAGTCCACCACAGATAAAGTAGCAGGAGGTAAAGAGGGCTGTCCAGTAATCTGAGGGTTGTGGGATCACCCACGGCAGAGAATGCTGCTGTTGTGTCCTTGGGCAAGACACTTCACTGACCTTGCCTGCTGGTGGTGGTTGGAAGCTCCGCCTCCGTCAGTGACCTGCTGTGACTACATTGTAGCTTAGCACCATCGGGGTGTGAATGTGTGTGTGAGTGGATGAATGATACACTAGTGTAAAGCACTTTGGAGTCCTCTGACTCTGAAAGGTGCCATACAAGTGTGTGTCATTTATCATTAAAGTATCAGATAAAATAATATTTCACAAAATGTTGAGCACCTTCATCAGAGTTTCTGTGAAGGACCCAAGTCAGGGGTGTCCAATCTTTTCAAAAGGAGGACTAAAATCATCCAGTTAAAAGTCTTCATGGGCCACAAAAAAAGTTGGTTTTTGTATGTTAAAAAAATGCAATAATTATTTTATTGTAAATATTTTTACTTAAAAAGGCATAAAATAGACATAGTAGACAATTTTGAAAATAAAATGGTAATAAAGGTGTACACATCAGGTGTACATCAGCAGTCTGCTGGAGAAACTAAAGCCCACCATTCTAGAAATGCTGGTGGAGGCTACGCAAAAACACAAATGGCCTCAGGGCTGCACTATGGACATGACTGACCAAAGTTCCTGCTCCCTTGTCACTTGTGTATAGTAAACAACGTGTTTGTGATTTTATGACATTATTTGTTAATGAGAGAAATAATGATTGATTGGTAGGTTAGACTGTTATTGTGTCATAAATACCACTGTTACAAACAGAGCAGTTTTACAAGTCGCCGTGTGTCTATGAAATGATAAATCAATGGACTTTTCCATCTTCAAGCAACGGCTGGCTTCTACCTTAATGAAATTTGTGTTGTTTTCTCCACTTTTCTCCACATTAATTGGGCAAAACCTGGGCTTTCACCAGGTCTAACACCTACTTCACACTAAAGCATCAGCGGTGCAGAACAGCAGCAGAACATCACTGCTTCAAATAGAATTCATTATAGTCTATGGGGGTGACTCAAACCAGGTGCATCCCACAACCAGTTCACCACGTTGTGCCGCTAAAGATAGGATTGTATTCTATTTTTGTTGCGAACTGCTTCTGGAACACACAAATTTCCGCAGTCAACATAAGGTTAGGCAGGAAATCAAATATGATTTCAGTGTAAAATCTGTGGTAATTTTCAAAATAAAAGACTACTGCAGCGATGCAGTTTCATATCTATGTAGATTATGTCACCTAATAGCTTATTTACTCACAGCATTGTTCCAAAAGTGCAGCGGTGTGTTTTTCATGGCTTTTATCCTACCAGTAGAGAGGAAAAACATCATATACAACATCAAACAGCGATATCAAACGTGATTTCCTTCTCTTTGGTTTAACGGCAGATGGCATGAACTTGGGGGATTTTGTGATCGAGAGTCCAGCAAGAAGCACAAAGAAGCCGATTCACAGCTGAGACTCTCCCGGAGTACACTGTAGGCAGCAAAAGTCAAAAGTAAATCCTTCTGCTGCCGTTCTGCTCCGCTGAATCCCTCTGGGATTAATAAAGTATCTTTGAATTGAATTGATGCTTCCAGTGTTAAGTAGGGGTAACTCAACAACAGATCAATATACAGACGAAGAACACTGGTAGCTTGGCCAAAGATGTTAATCTTTGATGACTATTCCCCCTCAGATGAGCTCTGTCTACATTACGCTACTACAATATCAAACATCTGTAGTAACAGGATCAGTATAAAGTGACCCAAAAGCAGAAAAACTAGTAAAAACAATAAAGCATCTATTGATCATTATATTTTAGTGCACAAGATAACGGTAAGGATTTGCAAAGCAAGTTGTGGGGGACATGTTGGATTTATTTAAAAAAAACTCTCTTTTGGACAATTATTTTTAAAAAATTCATTGTGAGTGGGTGGGGGTGCAAATGAAGAAAACGAATTTTAAGAATATCTGAGGTAGCGTGGATGAACCCTCAGAGTGGAAAAACAAAATGACACTTTTGGAATGTCAGAGGACACTCTCCTATCACCAAACATGTCAAGTTACCATCCCTGTTCAAAGTTAAGGCATCTTCAGATCTGCATCACAACACAAACAAAAGCCTATAGCTAGCTGGTAGGTACAAATATCCATATCACAACAAACAGAAAGGGAAATTAGACAATTAACACGCTGATAAAGCTTAGCACTGGGGCAGCAGTGGGTCAGCCAGCAATCAGAAGACTGGCGGTATGGACCCAGCTCCTTCCTTCCTAGTTATTCTGCTGTTGTGTCCTTGGGCAAGACACTTCGCCCACCTTGTCTATGGGTGAATGCTGGATGTGGTCAGAGGGGCTGAAGGTGCAAAATGTCATCCTGGCCTTCGTCAGTTAGTTTACCATCCCCAGAGTGTGTATGAATAAAGCATTTTCTGTAAGGCAGTTCGAGTCCCTTAAAAATCACATATAGACTCGCTGACACGTGACATCACACGCCCAGCTTCTGGTCAGAGAGCAAAGAGCCGACCCATCCCCATTGACCACCATTGTTATCTGTCCCTTTGTCAATAAACTGACCTAAACAGCAGCAAAATAAAATCAGCATGGTTAACACACTGTAGGCTGCACAAAAAGTAGAAAGGACAGTAAAACATTACATTTTAAAGGTTTCCAGCTGAAAAATACACCAAAGGCAATGGGTACCAGTCATGATGGTAGCCAAATTCTCATGACAGAATAAAAAATTAAAGTATCTGCCCCACATGTCCAGACAGAAATACAAGTTATAGCCACCTAGTGACTTGTATGCCTTTTTAACCGGGTTAAATTAGTTTATTTTTAATATCATTACACAAATTGTTCTCTAATTGGAGCAAGCAGCCTTAAATGTCATTCGTTTGTGTTTACTAAGCTCATCAGGTATGCCAAATGTGTAAAAGTCATGTATTTTTTATAAATGGTTTGTTCCTCCTGAGATCTGCCCTTTTGATGTTTTTGTGTTGTGGGAGAGGACTTGGAGCAGGCAGCCTTTAGTGTCATTCGTTTGTGTTTGTTTACTGAGCTTGTCAGAATAAACAAAGCACCTGTTCATCTCCAAAGATGAACTGTGTCACAGCAATCCTTGAACATTAACCTGCACAACGCAGAGGAGATCCGGTTACACATTTGTTTCTTCAGCTGTGCAAAGTCCAGGCATGTAAATAAAATAATTGTAGAGCGCCTTGTACAGCTGTAGCCTGCCTGTAACCCGTTTTGTCTACATGTTGTGTGTTTAACCTTGGTCGGGTTGTGCTGTGGAGACAAGTTTCTATTAAGCTCCAGGATGCTGGTAAAGTTGATTCTGATCCCTGAACTAGTGGCCAGTTATGAAGACTGTCATCATCCTCAGCTTGTTAGCTATTTCAAATGGATCTGAAAGCTTTGCGCTAATCGCCTCTTGCATTGAGATATCTTTTTGATCTGTACAAAAATGTCTTAATCTAAAGTAATGATACCTACATACCTAGGTTTTATTTTATTAGCTTCAATCGCGTAGGCACAGCTCTGAATGGTGGGTGCAGAAGCCCCCAGCATTGTGCGCATGCGCGCTATTACCCAGGATAAAACAATAACTTTCAATGTGTCTTATAGATGGTTTGCTGAATTTAATCTATTATTATTATTATTAATAATAATATATTGAATTGTTCTGGCTGAAAGTTACTTTAACTCAAAAGATTTTCAAGATGAAAGTGATAAGAACATTGGTTGTAATAATATTGGTCAAGAGACGATTGTCTATGTTTGGATGTTTAAACTGTAGCAGATGGTAAAAAGAATAAAATCAACAGAAATGTTAAAGCTGCTGCTGCCTGTGACTCATCAGGGTCACCATGGTAACAACCAAGGGATCTAAAAGTGGCCATGATAACCAACAAAACTCCAAAGTCACCATGATAACCATCAGTGGCTCATTAGGGCCACCTGGCAAGCAAAAGGGTTTGTTGACATCACCATAGTAACCACACACCTGTGCCTCTCACTCCCTGACACCAAACAAAATGAGGCAGACAGAAACAAAACGTTGGTGTCAGACAAAACAGCTGCTGATGTTGGGAAGTAATATTGGTGAAAATTCTTGAAGTGCGAGCAGCACAAGGCTTTGATGGTCATTTTTACACAGTGGTCCATGTAGGAAATACAGGAGCTACACCTTTAACTTAAAGTGAGTTAATTATTATTTTTGAGTTGAAGTATAAGTGAAGTCTGTGGGAGCTTGGGTGTGTACTCGCTGTAATCTGGGTTCGCCTCTGTCAGTGCGCCCCAGGGCAGCTGTGGCTACACTGTAGCTCATCACCACCAGGGTGTGAATGTGTGTGTGAATAGATGAATGATACACTGTAGTGTAAAGAGCTCTGGAGTCCTCCGACTCTGAAAGGTGCTATACAAGTGTTGGTCATTTATCATTTAGGTTTGAGAGAAGACTTTATCATCATGCAGCAGTAAAAGAGTGATTTATTTGTTACATGATCATAATCAACCAGTTACTCATAAAAATGTTCAAAACACTTACTCAGAGAAGCCCTTCCACTTGAGAAGGTACTCTACCCTGCCTTTCACCACCCGTCGATTCAGGACCTTTTCCACGACGTATTCCTCCTCTTCCTCTTCTTCCTCTGGAACATCGTCTGGCTTCTTTTCTTTCTCCACTGAAGTCACTTTAGCCTCTGTCAGGTCATAAACAGGGTCATGGGAACACGACTGCATCGTTAAAATAGTTCTGCTGCTCAAACCACTTAACTTCCTGAAGATTTCAAACTTTCAAACATTTATTTAGGACAGGGGTTTGCAAATGAACATTCACATGTATCATAAATATTCACAGCTGTAAAAGAATAGTCAAACACACATTTATGTTAGAAAGTAATGAAATATCAAACCTTCTGTAACAGCAGGAGCATCATTAGAGGGTTCTGGAGTCTGGCTCATACTCATCGGGTAGACCTGGGGACCAGCAGGATCCTGACCAACACCAAGATGGGTGCACGATGGAATTGAGAGGAGAAAACAATGGAAAGCTGGAAATGAGCCTTTTGGTTATAATTGGGTACATTTACATTGTAAAATGTTCATTAAAGGCCCCATGTGTGAAATTCATTGAAATCATGATGAAAAAATGCGACTCTTTAGCGCCATGCAGTTCAGAGTATTGCAGCTACGGTGGCTCACTCATGAGTTTGACTGTATAATCAATTTCCAACCTGTGTAGCCTAACCCACACAAAGCTTAAAACAAGCTACTTGATCTCTTTAAAAAAGTATTTATAATTATGACTGTTTTATCAGCCTACCAGTTCTGAAGGAAGCAAGCTAGTTCTGTTCTTGAAGCTGTCACAATTCACACACGGAGGAGGGGTGATGTCAACTGGGCGGTCAGGTGTTGTGAGAATTTGAGGTTGTTTAGTCCTCATTATGGACAATAAGTTCTGTGGATTTGGAAATATTTGCTCGACTGCCTAAGGGAAACAATATTTCAGGGGAACACAATTTCCCACAACACCCGTTTCACGTGGATCACGGTGCCTCAATGTAAACAAACTGGCTGCCGCTACCAGCTTATATGATATGGAGAAATCACTGGCTGATCGTTAACTACGGCTGGTGAAGGCGTGTTGGTGAGCCGGGGACATGCTGGAGATCAACTAAACAATGCTGATTTATCCACCAACTAATCGTGGCCCAAGGCTGACGTGGTGGAGATCGGTGTCACGAGCTACCGAGCTACTAGTTAGCCATGGCTAGAGCCGGGGAGACGCTTTGTATGCTGTGCGTAAACTCCTACAGATTACCAGCAAAAGGAGACCAAAGTCTAAAGGTAACGTTTGAGACAAAGCCCTCTGTCAGAGCATCTCTGTAGCGCGTGAAAAACTACATCACTGTTAGTAAAGTGTTGTGGAGATAAAGTAAACAACGCTGATTTAGCCACTGGCTAGTGTATGAGAGCTGGAGCGTGTTGGGCAAGATGGCAGGCTGCAGGAAGAGAGGAGACTTGAGTAGAAGGACTCTGGAACTGACACGTTGGGACCGGATACAGAGTTCTGGTACTGACACGTTGGGACCGGATCGGGAGTTCTGGTACTAGGAAAAGATGGATGAACAACTTGAGGTGAGTTTGGGAGTCAGAGACACTAATCGGAGGCTAGCGTCCAGCTAATAGCGGGTGGGGGTCTGAACATATGCAGCTTCCTTGTGTTGGACATGATGAGGAACTGACAAAGTTTATGTGTCTTTTGATTTAATAGTTTTTTTAATTCAAACTAACAAATAGAGCAACGGTGTAGCTATTCTTTTCTATTTCTTAGTTGAATTACCAAACTCGATGCTTCCAGGGCACACTGCTGCCCTCTGATGGTTCTTTCAGGTTACAGTCACATTCCAAATGGGTAACGTGGAGCTCGTATGTCCCTAAACGGCTACTGTATTTTAAGATGGTGGATGACCATAGAGCGTCAACCACAGTTTATGTATACAAAATGTATAATTTCAAGTTGAGAGGAATATTTAGAATTGATGTTGGTGAGAAATATTAGTGAAAAAGGACAAGTTTGTGAACCGGAAACACAGGATTTGATAGTAAACTGGTAAAAATATCACACACTGGGCCTTTAATGCACCACTGTCCATCTAAAATGAATAAAAGTTATTCATTCATTGAGGCACTGCAAAGGACTTCAAATGAATGTTATCTTTGAACACTACAGCAGCCCAGATGGGACCAACCAAAACCAGCTCAAAGGGTCTTTCACTTTTCATTGCTAGAACTAATTTCAGGGCAACAAGCCGTTTTGCTATTTGAAGACACATTATGCAACCTTTAAACCTTAAATTAACATTTTTTGAAAGGTTTTGGCAGCATACTATCATCTATTATGTTCATTTTCAGAGCTGTGATAGTGTTATGGAGTCCCACGTCTGTTCACCGCGCTGTACAGTTTTTGACCTGCGGTCCACCGCTGGAAGTGCCAACTGTGTATTGATTTACGGCAGTATTACGTAGACCCCATAGACATGAATACCGGTACGTAGATGCCCCATTGGGTGCTGGAAAGCATAACTGCGTCGCCACCATACTGGATGGGTCTCCTCACTCTCCAAAGTTAAAGCAGTGGACAACTATGCCCGTTTTTGTGCAGCCTAAGGTGATAACTGGCGTACAACTGAAAACAGATCACGTGGGATTACTGACTTTTCTGGCCTGCCTGATAGAATTTTATATTTAAATATATTTGTATTTATTTTGTTTAATGATATTTATATTTTAATTATCATGCCATACCACCGATTTCCCTCTTTCCTATTAATTGTCTTTTCCCCTTTCCTTACATTTTTTTAATCACAATTCTTTTCTCATTTAAAAACATATTTTTAAAATGTATTTGAAATCTTTTTTATATTTTAATTATTTTGTTTTTGGAAAGCACCTCAAGATTTTTTACTTGAGAGGCACTATAAAAAAGATTTTCTTTCTTTACCTTATGTCTGATTTTGTGAAAAAGCTTGATAAAATGTGTTTTTTAGTTGGGTAAGCACCTTTCTCAGTAGAAATTCATGCACTGGAAGCAAATAGAGACCCATCTAAAAATGGTGGTCGGCCACTACGGCAGCTCCAGTCCACGGGGCATCTACGTATATGTCTGTAGTAGACCTGCAGGGCAGATCCACCAAAGAAAGCAAGAAATCCCTCATCAGAGGAATCTAGGGAAAAAAAAGAGAGAATGTGATAGAGCAAGAGCAAAGACCAGAGTTAATATTGGGCTGGCTTTTCCTCGTTGGAGAGCTCTTCTTGAAAGAATGGCATGTACTACAGAATCTGACCTAGCCATGTTGCTAATGAATAGGTAAGTAATAAATGATATCACCGGAGTTATTGTGTTTGGTTGGACATAAAGTTGTTATAAAGTCCTGATAAAACTTTATTCAATGCTGAAATGCAGCTTAATGTGTTTGCTTGGGCATGCTAGTTAGAAAACAGCCACTAAAAATGCCTCTAATTCATGACAGAGATTCGATTTTGACAGTGATGTTACGCAGCAAGCCTGCAGAGGGCAACAGAGAGCAACAGAGAGCACATATCTGCAAAGTTCAGGAGAGTGTCTAAGTGTGAGCTACATTCTGAAATAAATACATTTTAAAAATACTTTAGCATTCTACCGTGTATTGTTCAATTTCCTACAGTCATTTCTAAGACTCAGACAGATTTTTACACCTTTTTTGATGACACATTAATGCAAACAAGCTAAACATTTATTTTTTATTTCAACTGGATAAAAGCAAGCCAGCTTGTGAAGAAGACCTCAAGCTGAAAGCTAAAACTATCAGGTAAAGTTGTTTTTTTTTTGCCAAGTTACTTGCCTGTCTAAAGACATTTATTGCTGAAAATGCTAACAGATTATGTGAACATCAAAACACAAGTTTCTGGGATTAAATGTTTTTACATTGAAAACGTCATGAATGAATGAACAAATAGGTTTTTTAGTACAAATATATCCAGTTGACCTATGTATCAAAAAGCATGTAGGCAGAAGCAAAGCTTATAGTGTTCACCTACCCCTTTTAACTTAGATTATCACCATAACACCAAGACACGCACTTTGGTTTATTAAAAAAAAAAAGAATCTCTCAGGTCATATCATAACTTGATTTTTTTCATCATCATACAGAAGCATACTGCATTCGCTTGAAAATAAAAAAGCTCAGTTCTTTTTTTTACAAAAAATGTCTGTTTTTCTGAACCAACTATATATGAATTGTCAACATAATTTGTACTAAAATATGAAACTTCTGCCAAATTGTCCTTGAAAAACAGGGCCGCATCCAGAAAAGCAGACAGGGCTTTGTGCCTGAGACACAAACTTCCCAGGTGTCTGCACAAATTTGACAAACTCATAATAATCATATCTACATAGTTTAGAAACAAGCAGTTTTTTCCAATATCTCGATCTCAAAACAAAGTGAAAGTGAATTAAACTGACAAAATAGGACACACTTGCTTCGCCAGTTATTAATGCCTACAGGTAATGAACATTTTCTAACAAAAACCCTGCACAGGAAATAATTTATTATACACTGCCAAGCCAAAAATAGGTTGCCACCTGGATTTAACTAAACACATAGGAACAAGCCTCCTATTGGATAATTACTGCACAGGTGATTATCTTTCAGCTGGCAACAAGTTATTTAACGCCAACTGGTGCAATGAGCTGCTTCTCATTTCTTAAACAACCATGAGGAAAGACACATCTGGTGGTCGTGGAAAAGATGTTAGTCTGTTTGAGAAGGGTCAGATCATTGGCATTCATCAAGCAGAGAAAACACCTAAGGAGATTGTAGACATGACTAAAACTGGGTTAAGCACTGTCCAACGCATCATTAAAAACTGGTCTGATGAGTCCAGATGGACCCTGTTCCAGAGTGATGGTGCATCAGTGTAAGAGAGGCAGATGAAATGATGCACCCATCATGCCTAGTGTCTACTGTACAACCCTGTGGGGCCAGGGTTATGATCTGGGGTTGCTGCAGTTGGTCAGGTCTAGGTTCAGCAACAGGATGTGCTCCAAGATTGAGGTCAGCTGACTACCTGAATACACTGAATGACCAGGTTATTCCATCTTCCCTGATGACAAAGGCATATTCCAAGATAACAATGCCAGGATTCATCGGGCTCAGATAGTGAAAGAGTGGTTCAGGAGCATGAGACATCATTTTCACACATGGATTGGCCACCACAGATTCCAGACCTTAACCCCATTGAGAATCTTTGGGATGTGCTGGAGAAGGCTTTGTGCTGCGGTCAGACTCGACCATCATCAATGCAAGATCTTGGTGAAACATTAATGCAACACTGGATGGAAATAAGTTTTGTGGAATTGCAGAAGAGAATGTAAACAATGCTACAGCAAACGTGTGCTGTAATTTAAGCTAAAGGCGGTCCAGCAAAATAGAAGAGTGTGACCTCCTTTTGGTGGAGACATTTTTTTTTGGTCAGGTAGTGTATTTCTTCCTTCAGCCACTTTTGTTATATATTTAAAGAAATGTGTGTGTGTGTGTGTGTGTGCAAAAACATATTTTTTTTTTCTGTTCTCCTTTTGAACGAAATTAATAGACAATACATACGTGAATCTCTTCATAAAATTGTCATTATTTAGCTCTGTGTCTCAACAGATAAACGCATGCCATACAAGATGCGACCTCACCTGATCATTCAACCCCCCCAAAACGGTCTAAACATCAAAAGCAGGTATTTAACCTGCACCCAAGTGGAGAGCTGCGCTGTAAAATAATCACTACACTGATTTCCAATGGGGATGGGGGTGGGGAGACACGGTTAGACCTCGGAGACCCGCAGTTTCCAGCAAACCGTTGTTTCTCCTCCATATTGCTTTAGCGTTAGATCACTGCTGGAGAATTCCTGGACATGTCTGTTGGTTAGCACGGTAATTTGTAGACACACACACCTTTAAAACGCGCTTGCCAACTTTGTCAAGCGCACAGGTGGCTAAATCACGCGGTCAAATATGCGCTTCTACATAACTGCCCACCACAGTCTCGCGCACAATTGATAGAAACAAAAGAAAACGAGTGGAGGGGCATACTCACCGATAGCTTAAAACGCAACTCGTTATTTAAAAGTGTATCAACTGGACTGCAGCTGTGTCACTATAGTACGGTTAATATGCCGCTGTTAGTTTGAATTTGTTGTTGAACGCAGAGCCGTTAGCTTGACTACAACAAAACGTGCCGTTTCCGCCCCTTCGTCTAGCATGAGCAGAGGGGGGAAAAAATCTCCGTTTTTTTCCTTTCGAGCACGCCGCGTGTGTAATCTCACTAACTGCGAAGCGTGTGGAGTTTAACAAACTGTACGCGTGCTACATCTATGTGTTTTATAGATCAGTAGTTTTAGTGAGCGAGTAAGACGTGGACTGGATCACAGAGGAACGGTCTCGACGCATCAAGTACAGGGTTCACGGCTGGATGAGCAAATAAAAGGGTTGGGGCCTCTCTTTCCAGGTTCTTTTGAGTTCTCTACGTTCACCGCTCTCTTTTTACCAATAAATTGTATCAGAAACTTGCAACAAAAAAGAAAAATTAGATAAAAAAAATGACAATAATTGCCTGGTATTATCAAAGTACAGAAAAATCAGTTTCAATTACTGTAAAAGTAGGTAAATTAAGTATCCTGATTGAGAATAAAATAACGTGAAAGGGAAAAAACTGATTCCCTTTGTATTGGTGTGTTAATCAAACAAACGATGGTGATTTGTTTGATTAACACACTAATCCCTTTCACTGGTAATTTGTGCTCCTTTGTGTACCTTGGTCGGGAAAGTACTTTGTTCTGGCTCTGTCATACATTTTCTTTATGGGCGCTGTCTCTTTAAGAGAATCAGGAAGTTGAGCGTTCAGGCCACGCCGTGCAGTGATCGCGGCAGTGTGAAGCAGCCGAGAGCGAGTTGTTGCGTTAACAGCTGTGGGTTTTCAGTTCAGAAAGGGCATTCGATAACATAATGTTTAAATGAATAATTAGTTATACAAATGGCAAAACTGAGTTCATCCAGGACGTAAGGAACTATTTACAAGTATTATTTAAAGGGCATCCTTAAATTGTTTGTGGCTGCAATGAAGCATGATTATGATTTATTTTCTGACTTATGTGCGTTTTTACTTATTGATGTGTATTTGTTGTTACAGTTTCACACCTGCCATATAAAGTACAAGGTCCAAACCACCCAGGCGTCTGCAACTTCTTGTGTGGAGGTGTTTAACTAAATTGATAGTGGAAAAGGTTTCCACGAGGCTGTAAAAGTGAAAAAGGAGGACTTCTCAACGAACTACTGACTCCCAGGCTGCGTGAATGCTGTTTTCAGAACAGCACATCAGACGCGGCGTTACCAAGTCAGCATAAGGCACAGTAAACCAACACGAACCATGGATGAATCGGAGTTTGAAGTTAGATCTACAACGTTGCGGTCAAGCAGAGCTTCCGCTGCAAGTGTAGCATTAGCAGCTGCTCAAGCATGTGCTAAAGCAGAAGCTGCCGAGGCCAGAGCTGCCTGTGCAAAGAAAGAAATAGAAGTCAAATTGGAAAAAGCCAGGCTAGAAGCAACACTGCATGCACTACACATAGAAGATGAAGCACAAGCTGCAGCTGCTGAAGCAGCAGTAATCGAGGCTGCAGCTGCAAGTTTGGAAACTATAGTGGAGCCCCCAATTAATCTGGGCCAAATACAAAGTGCTTCTGAGCGTATGGCTGTATATGTTGCAAAGCACAGTAATCCCTGTGATGAAGAACCAACTAAAATGAATGAGAAGGACTTTAAAAAAAGGAAAACACGCACGAAAAGCAATCTGATGGGTCAGATATGGAAAGAGGATGAGGAAACATGTGCACGGATCTAAAAGAATATCTGCCCCAGCGGGCCCCAGAAATCATTGACTCTAAACCAAAACGGCATGAATCTAAGAAGCAGGACAACCAGTCATTCACACCAAATGCTCAGGAAAATAGGGCTCACAATAATCCCCGCTATACGACACCTTCTACTGGCCACTCTCAGCATTGGCCAACTGCTCAGCGCTACAGCAGTGACACCAATGAACTTGCTAAATATTTAATAAGGAGTCAGTTGTTGGTGTCTGAGCTTGATAAGTTTGACGACAAACCAGAAAACTATTTATCCTGGAAATCATCATTCATTAATGCTACCGAGCACCTTGATCTAAAAGTTGGAGAAGAAATTGACCTCCTGATAAAATTGCTGGGCCCAGAATCAGCAAGACTTACAAAACACATTAAAGCAGTAAACATAAGCAAGTCAGCCGTTGCCCTAAAGCTCATTTGGGAACGGCTAGTAGAGACATATGGTTCACCAGAAGCCATAGAGGGTGCTCTTTTTGCTAAGCTTGATCAGTTCCCCAAAACTGGGCCAAGGGATAATAACTGAGGGAACTCAGCGATCTATTGTTGGAAATAAATTCAGCAAAGGAGGAAGGATATCTAAATGGACTGTCTTATCTTGACACAGCTCGAGGCATTGGTTCAATCGTGGAAAAGCTGCCGTATGGACTGCAAGACAGATGGATGATGGAAGGTTCGCGTTACAAACAGGAAAATGAAGTGGGATTTCCTCCATTTACAGTTTTTATACAGTTTAATCAAACGCAAGAAAAGGCACTTAATGACCCAAGCTTCAATATCCAGTCACTATCCATCGGCGGGATGAAAAAAGACAGGCTTGTCGAGAACCAGAGTAATAATCGCCAAACAGTCTCAGTGCACAAAATAAACATAACATCTTCACCCGCGAGCGAACCAGACAAATGGTGTCCTGTGCATAACAAACCACATGCACTACTGCAATGCAGAGGCTTTAAAGAGAAAACACTTCATGAAAAAAGGAGACTATTGAAACAACACAATGTATGTTACAAGTGCTGTGCATCTAACAAACACGTGGCTCGTAATTGTGAAGCGGTACTTAAATTTTCTAAGTGTGAATCTGATAAGCACCCCATTGTTATGCACCTTACTGGCCTACACAGTCCGTAGTTCCAGCAGATTATGGCGGGGAGGGAGAAGATGGGCAAGAGCAAAGAGTGGTTACAAGTTGCACTGAAGTATGTGAGGAGGGTTTTACTGGGAAGTCATGTTCCAAAATATACCTAGTAAATGTCTAACCAGCTAACGACCGCAGCAAGAACTAAATATTGTATGCCATGTTGGACGACCAGAGTAACTTGTCATTAGCCCGCTCAGAGTTTTTTGACATGTTCAAAGTTAACAGTTCTCCGGTGCCACACACCATCCAAACCTGTGCTGGCGTGGGGCTCACAGCTGATCATAGAGCACTGGGTTATGTCATAGAGCCGGTAGATGGTGCTCCTGCAATACCACTGCCAATGTTGATCGAGTGCAACATGATACCAAACAAGAGAGAGGAGATTCCCACTCCAGCAGCAGCGCAAGGTCATCCTCACCTTGAACGCATTGCACATAAAATACCGCCAATAGACGACAGTGCTCAGGTACTGCTACTACTTGGAAGGGACATTCTACAAGTCCATAAAGTTTGCAGTCAAATCAATGGTCCACACAACGCACCGTACGTGCAGAGATTGGATCTTGGCTGGGTGATCAAGACTCAAGACAACTTAATTAGTCCCCGAGGGGCAATTTGAGACAGCATTGTGAAGCAGCCGGCACTAAAATCTCTAAATTATAAAAACCCAACCAATTAACACATTCGTAAAACTCATAAAACCTATATACGCATTCATGTCATATCCTCACATGTGAATGACCAACAATGAGTAAACCTTTGGCGCACACACGCACACACAAATACACATGCATACATGTAACTACATGCACGCACACATACAAGTAATGCACACACACCCTATCGGCACTAAGAATTAAGAAGAAGCACAGCTCTGGGAACAAAGGAACTTCTCCTCTGTGTTTTACAGCATGGGCATCGAAGTCGGCGTTTGGAGGGCAGCTACTCGAAAACAGTATGAAGACGTGTGATGGGTCTTTAATAATTTTCTGTGCTAAACTTCCTGTATGCTGGTCACATTGAGAAGTTAAGTTTCGCAGTGGTAGTCCAATGATCCGAGAGCACACCTTGACAGTGCTTTGTAGACAGTTTCTATACTGCAGGCTGACAGAATAAAACTAACGGGATGGAAAATGTGATAACACTCTCTATAAAAGAATAATAGAAAGTCAGTAAAATGTCCTTCCTGACTCCAAATGAATTCAACTTCCTCAGGAGGTAGAGTCGTTGCTGGCACTTTCTGAGGATGTCCTCAGTGTTGGAAGCGAATTTCAGGAGGTGATCAAAGGTGGTCCCTAGATATTTATGCTCTTCAACCAGCTCCACTGGCTGTCCATGAATGATAGTGGAGGCAGCAGTAACCAGTGCTCTCTGTTTGTTTGAGAAGGACACCACCATCTCCTTAGTTTTGGTCACATTCAGCTCCAGGCATGTAGTGTCACACCAATCCACAAACTCCTGCAGGACCTGCCCATGGTAAACAGTAAGGCCTGACAGAAGAGACAGGAGCACAGTGTCATCGGCGTACTTTACCATATAACTGTTAGGCTGGATGGATCTACAGTCATCTGCATAGAGAATGAAGAGTAGAGGAGACAACACGTAGCCTTGTGGGGTGCCAGTGGAGGTGTAAAGAAGGTCTGAGAGAGTGTTGTTAACCTGCACTCTTTTTGATCTGTTAGCTAAGAAATCCAGGATCCATAGGATTATCTGATCATCCAGGTGAAAAAGAGAAGAGAGTTTGCCAGCCAGGATGTGAGGTTGCAGGGTGTTAAACGCTGAAGAGAAGTCAACAAACAGGAGTCTAGCTGAAGAGTTTGGGATCTCCAGATGTCTGTGCACAATGTCTAAGATGAATGCTTTTGCATCGACAACACTTCTCCCTTTCCGATATGCAAACTGAAGTGGATCTAACTGAGGGTGTAAGGCTCCGATAATGTGATGTTTCAGGATCCTCTCCATAGCCTTCATCGGTAAAGAGGTCAAAGCCACAGGTCGAAGATCATTGAGAGCCTTAACCCTGCTGGTCTTGGCAATGGGTATGAACGTAGAGTGTTTCCAGAGCTGGGGAACTGTGCTTGTATCCATGGAGCTCTGCAACAAGGTCTGAAACACACCCCCTAGTTGCTGTGCACAGTTTCTGAGAACTCTGCTGCTGATGTGGTCTGGGCCAGGTGCACTTTTCTCCTTAGTCTGCTTAAGAGCTTTCACAACCTCCTGCATGGTAAATCTGAATCTGAATGCAGGGTTTAATTTAGATTTTGTTTCCTGGAGCTGGACGTGATTATCAGACTCGAACCAAGTATAAAAAGAATTGAGATCATCAGAGAGAGATGTCGGTGTGCTGCTCTCCACCTGAATTGACCTGCCACTAGGTGTTGCTATTGCTGTGTTTGCTGAGGCCATGGTCTTCAAACCCAGCCAAGCGGAGCAGAGGTTTCCCTCCCTGAACTTTTCCTCCACTTACTGTATATATGACACTTTGCTAAGAACAAAAACATATGTAAAAAAAAGTAAGCATTCTTATATTTGCTGTTAAAATTATGAAAACCAAAAATAATATTTTTGTAGTAAAGCTGAAAACCAGGAAGAACAGAATCACTAATTAATGTGTGGAAGTCCTGCCAAAATTTATGGGTAAATTTACAAGACCAACACAAATGACATAGGCCTACTGCTTCAGGTTGCTCTTGACAGAAAGAGCAATGAACATTAATATTAGCCGAGAATTTGGACAGATACTGTCTGGCAGTGTAGAATATGTGAGTTAATTTAAAATACATTTCTTTGACCTTGTTTGTTAGTAAATACCTTTTTGGTAGTGAGCAAACATTTTTCCAACCAATATCCGTTACAAAATTGGACCAGTAAGACACAGCTGGTAGTACAGAAACCTTTGCAGTCTGATAAAGAGACCATATTTCTGTGATGTGTCTTAATTGAAGAAAAGCAAATGCTACCAAAAGAAGAATTTGAAACATCCAAAGGACTAACTGCAAAGGGAGAACTGTGGGAACATCTAAAAGGCAGATAAACCAAAAGGGATAGCATCAAATACTATTGAAAATTCTTTAGGTGTGATTGGTACATTTTACTTTTCAAGAAATTCAGAATAATTGTACAGAATTCCATCTCCCACTGACTATCCAACATGGACGTAATTTGTTTATTTGGGGGGGGGGGGGGGGGGTCCCCCCACTTTTTCCAAAGTCAAGTTTTGACCCCTGCAATGTTTACCATCCAAAAACAATATTATTATTGTAATAGGGCCATTTAATATTACCCTATATTAAATAGACACTGATTGAGCACTATAGCACTGTAGTGTAAAGTGCTTTGGAGTCCTTACTCTGAAAGGCGCTATACATGCGGGTCAAATCAAAGCTTTATTTATAAAGCGCCTTCCGCAACCCTGTCAGGAAGCCCAAGGCGCTGAACATGGTACAGTACAAAGTTAAAGAAAGTGAATAAATCTGAAAATAAAAGCAATTCAAATTACAGATTACAAATTACAAAAAAGGTGAAACATTCTAGTAGAAGACAAATGTGTAAAACAAGGGAAAAAGTGAACCAATGAAAACTGTGAGATAAAATCAACATAAAAGAGGGCCAAATTCAAACATGTTCAGGAAACGCCAAGCGGAGGAGGTGGGTTTTTAGGCGACTCTTGAAGACTGGCAGAGATGAGGACAGCCTAACTGAGGGTGGCAACTGGTTCCATAGAGACGGTGCTAGTACTGAGAAAGCCCGTACCCCGCGAGTACGACACCTACAACGAGGGACAACGAGCAGGCCTTGGTCAGAGGAGTGCAGAGCGCGTGATGGGGAATGTCTGTTCAGGAGGGTGGCTAGATAGGGGGGAGCACCACCCTGGAAGAAATTAAAAACAAAGACGAGGAGTCTGAAGTGTGAACGATAGCAAACCGGAAGCCAGTGCAAGGAGGTCAGAACCAGACTGATGTGGTCCCGTTTCCTGGTCCCAGTCAGGAACCTGGCTGCGCTGTTCTGCACAACCTGTAGATGACGCAGTGATGACTGACACAACCCTGCATGTAGAGAGCTGCAGTAATCAAGCCTAGAAAGGTCAGGGTCATTTATCATTTATTACTAGGACCAAGCGGAAAGACCCCCCCCCCCCCAAACCCTCGTCCTCATGCCGGTTGTCCCCCCCCCCCCCCCCCCCCCCCCCCCACAAAAGTCAAAACTACATCCAAGCTATCCAAGATAATTCCATTAATAAACCAGTTATTTATAAATAAACTTTTGTTTTTGTAAACTATTTTGCAGTTATTCCAAATAATACAGTTCTGTGGAGATACATTGCGTTTGTAAATCAGTGTCCGTGCCAAAAGAATCTGTTGATGGAAATGAGAGAGTGTAAGTGGTATTTTCAGAATGCTATCGTTACAAAGCAACAGGAAATTAAGGCCGCCTATTTGGAAAATACATGGCATGAAATGAAGTTCCAAATATATATGGGCTCTTGGTATTTTTAAATCCAATTTATTTTAAAGGTGTTGTTAAGAGCGCTAAAGTCAATAAAATGTAAGCCTCCTTTGTCATAGAAGTTTAAAGTAACAGATTTTCGTAAATAATAAGTTTTATTTTTCCATTAAAAGTTTTATAATTTGTGAATTCGCTTACAGATTATTCTATTGACATGGAGGGTCCTGAGCAGGTCAACTGGGAGCCATACCTTCTGCCTTTGAAAGAAGAACTCTTCCTTTCAAAGATACGTCTCGTTGTAACCACTGGTTAAAAATCTTTTACGCTAAATCTGTAATATGATTAAAGTTTGCTCAGTTTTAATAATTTGAATTCCAAGAAATCCCTCACAGGTATTCCATTGATTAAGTAGCCTAGCAATATTTAACTGGTAGGAGTTCACACATATACATGTTAAAGAAGAGTCCAAAAGCACGTGAGAAAGGCTGTATATAATCGAATACGTATATGTCTGTGGCCGCACCCGACCCCTGACAAACACCAATGGAGAGCCCTTTCAACTATTATATGACAACTTGGCTTGCTATATAGGCGCAACTGATTTCTATGCGCGATGACGTCACCCAGCAATGGTTGTTCTTGCGAAATTGAGAGAGGAGCTGGAAATAGGGCTCTGCCCCGGCATTCGGAGGAGTTTGTCCACTAAAACAATCACATTCGACGACCAGGACAACACTGGCAGCAGTCTGAGCAATAAACAATTGAAGCCAACGCACAATTCGTGAAAGTAAGTTGCTGTTTGGGGTTAGCTTTTAGCTACCTTGTTTACAACTTTCATTACCCAGGCCTGAACTAAACAACCCTTTAATGAGTTGTTCGCCTTATAACAGCACAGTTTACTGATGTGTCGCTGCTGTTTTATTTCATTTTGTGTGATTGTTAGTGCAACAAGAAACTCGTTAATTCAGACAAATAATTTAAATGTTTTACTGATTAAACTAGCATGTATAGTAGTAAAGAAAATGTAGTAAATTATAGACGACGTTTGTGTTTCCTGTTTTAATATCATTATGGTAAAAATGGTCTGCATTTGATATAGCGCCGTCTATAGTCCTACAACCCCCCAAGGCGCTTTACAACACAACAGTCATTCACCCACGCGCACACACTCACACCCTGGTGGTGATGAGCTACATTGTAGCCACATCTGACAGAGGTTGGTAAATATAAAGTAAGCATTTTTTTTATCATTTTGATTGATTTTTGTTATTGAAAATGTCAAATATATCTGCTATTTGTAGTGTTCTTCTTTTTAAGTCTAACTGAAAGTCACCAGGTAACAGTATAAACTTGTAAACGTAAAGGAAGACATCTTACAATGAATTATATAAATGGAAACCGTGTTCCCTCGCCCGGACGTGGGTCACCGCCCGGGGCCCCCCTCTGGAGCCAGGCCTGGAGGTGGGGCACGTTGGCGAGCACCTGGTGGCCGGGCTTTCACCCATGGAGCCTAGTCGGGCACAGCCCGAAGAGGAAATGTGGGTCCCCCTTCCCATGGGCTCGCCACTCGTGGGAGGGGCCAAAGGGGTCAGGTGCAGTGTGTGACGGGTGGTAGTCGAGGGCAGGGACCTTGGCGGTCTGATCCTCTGCTACAGAAGCTGGCTCTTGGCACATGGAATGTCACCTCTCTGGTGGGGAAGGAGCCTGAGGTGGTGTGTGAGGTTGAGAGGTTCCGACTAGATATAGTCGGACTCACCTCAACGCATGGCTCTGGCTCTGGAACCGATTTCCTTGAGAGGGCTTGGACTTTCTACCACTCTGGAGTTGCTCCCACTGAGAGGTGCAGAGCAGGGGTGGGCGTACTAGTTGCCCCCCATCTTGGTGCCTGTACGTTGGGGTTTACCCCGGTGAATGAGAGGGTAGCCTCCATCCGCCTACGTGTGGGGGGACGGGTTCTGACTGTGGTCTGTGCTTATGCACCAAACTACAGTTCAGACTACCCACCCTTTTTGGAGACCTTGGAGGGGGTGCTAGAAAGCGCTCCTTCTGGTGACTCCCTCGTTCTGCTGGGAGACATTAACACTCACGTGGGCAACGGCAGTGAGACCTGGAGAGGTGTGGTTGGGAGGAACGGCCCCCCTGATTTGAATTCCAGTGGTGTTTTGTTATTGGACTTCTGTGCCAGTCATGGATTGTCCATAATGAACACCATGTTCAGACATAAAGGTGTCCATATGTGCTCTTGGCTCCAGGATATCTTAGGCCGCAGCTCGATGATCGACTTTGTTATTGTTTCATCTGACCTGCGGCTGCATGTCTTGGACACTCGGGTGAAGAGGGGCGGAGCTGTCAACTGACCACTACCTGGTGGTAAGTTGGCTCAGATGGTGGGGGAGGATGCCAGTCAGACCTGGCAGGCCCAAATGTATCGTGAGGGTCAGCTGGGAATGTCTGGCAGAGTCTTCTGTCAGAAGGAGCTTCAATTCCCACCTCCGACAGAACTTCCAAAATGTTCCGGGGGACAATGAATCTGAATGGACCCTGTTCTGTGCCTCCATTGTTGAGGTGGCCGACCGGAGCTGTGGTCGCAGGATCGTTGGTGCCTGTCGTGGTGGCAACCCCCGAACCCGCTGGTGGACACCGGCGGTTAGGGATGCTGTCAAGCTGAAGAAATAGTCCTATCAGGTCTTTTTGGCCTGTGGGACTCCAGAGGCAGCTGACGGGTACTGGCAGTCCAAGCGGAATGCGGCTCGGGTGGTCGCCAAGGCAAAAACCCGGGCATGGGAGGAGTTTGGTGAAACCATGGAGCAAGACTTCCGTACGTACGGCTTCAAGGAGATTCTGGTCCACCATCCGGCGCCTCAGTGGGGGAAAGCAGTGCGCTACCAACACTATCTATAGTGGGGACGGTGTGCTGCTGACCTCTATTCAGGACATTGTGGATCGGTGGGCAGAGTACTTCGAAGACCTCCTCAATCCCACCGACACGTCTTCCAGTGAGGAAGCAGAGTCTGGGGACTTTGAGTTGGCCTCTCAAATCTCTATTGCTGAGGTCACTGAGGTGGTTAAAAAACTCCTCTGTGGCAAGGCTCCGGGGGTGGATTGAGATCTGCCCGGAGTTTCTTAAGGCACTGGATGTTGTGGGGCTGTGTTGGCTGACGCGGCTCTGCAATGTTGCGTGGACATCGGGAGCAGTCCCACTGGACTGGCAGACCGGGGTGGTGGTTCCCTTATTTAAAAAGGGGGACTGCAGGGTGTGTTCCATCTACAGGGGGATCACACTCCTGAGCCTTCCTGGTCAGGTCTATTCAGGGGTTCTGGAGAGGAGGGTCCGTCAGATTGTTGAACCTCAGATTCAGAAGAAGTAATGTGGTTTTCGTCCTGGTCATGGAACACTGGACCAGCTCTATACCCTTAGGGGGATCCTGGAGGGTGCGTGGGAATTTGCCCAACCAGTCTACATGTGTTTTGTGGATTTGGAGAAGGCGTTTGACTGTGTCCCTCGGGGGGCCCTGTGGGGATACTCCGGGAGTGTGGGGTACCAGGCCCTCTGATACGTGCTGTTAGGTCCCTGTATGACCGGTGTCAGAGCTTGGTCCGCATTGCCGGCAGTTAGTCAGGCTCGTACCCAGTGAGAGTTGGACCCCACCAAGGCTGCCCTTTGTCACCGATTATGTTCATAACCTTTATGGACAGGATTTCTAGGTGCAGCCAAGGTGTGGAAAGCATCCGTTTTGGTGGCCTGAGGATCAGGTCTCTGCTTTTTGCAGATGATGTGGTCCTGTTGGCTTCATCAGAACGTGATCTTCAGCTTTCGCTGGAGCAGTTCACAGCCGAGTGTGAAGCAGCTGGGATGAGAATCAGCTCCTCTAAATCTGAGATCATGGTCTTGATTTGCTAAAGGGTAGAATGCCTTCTCCAGGTCAGGGATGAGGTCCTGCCCCAATTGGAGGAGTTTAAGTATCTCGGGGTCTTGTTCACGAGTGAGGGAAAACTGGAGCGTGAGATCGATAGGGGGATTGGTGCTGCATCTGCAGTGATGCGGGCGTTGTACCGGTCTGTCGTGGTGAAAAGAGAGCTGAGTCAGAAGGCGAAGCTCTCGATTTACCGGTCGATCTACGTTCCTACCCTCACCTATGGTCACGAGCTTTGGGTAGTGACCGATAGAACGAGATTGCGGATACAAGCGGCCGAAATGAGTTTTCTCCAAAGAGTGGCTGGACTCTCCCTTAGAGATAGGGTGAGAAGTTTGGTCATTTGGGAGGGGCTCGGAGTAGACCCGCTGCTCCTCCACATCGAGAGGAGCCAGTTGAGGTAGCTCGGGCATCTGGTCAGGATGCCTCCTGGACACCTCCCTGGTGAGGTTTTCCAGGCACGTCCAACCGGGAGGAGACGTAAAGGTAGACCCAGGACACGGTGGAGGGACTATGTCTCTCACCTGGCCAGGGAACGCCTTGGGATTCCCCCAGAGGAGCTGGCCCAAGTGGCTGGGTAGAGGGAAGTCTGTGCTTCTCGCCTTAGGCTACTGCCCCCGCGACCCGACTCCGGATAAGCGGATGAAAATGGATGGATGGATGGATGGATGGGATGGCAATGCCTTACTCTCACGTTACACAGACCAATGCTTGAATTGTTTTCAGTTGAGAACAAACTGAAAACTAAGTAAATAATGAAAGTGAATCCTCAGGAGGAGTTGCTGAGAGCAGTTAGAAGAAAACCTGATTCACCAGTCTGAGGAATTATCTTTGAAAGGATTTCACAGCAGTCAAACTGAATACTATGTTAAGAAGAGTTTTATAGAAAAGTTGAATGATAAAGGGGAAAAATAAGGATGACTGATGTCATTTTAGCTTTTCTTTTATGGGATGATTCATCAGTTCATGGCATATAAGAAAAGACACCCAACTTTCAGTGCGTTTGATCAAGTTTATTTATGCGTCTCATTAGTGATTTGTCTTCTGGTTGCAGTGCAGCTCTCGGTAGGATGACCAGGAATCACGTAGATGATGTGAGTAACTTTCTTCCCTCTTTTAATATCTGGATGTGGATGATTAGCACAAGTTCTCATTTTGTCATCACAAACTCCGCTTTAGCTACACTTCTGCTAAAGAACGATAATACTCTTTGAGGTGTTAAGTGTGAAGAATTAGAGGAACTAATTTTTTTTTTGCCAGAGGCATGTGTTAGAACATGTGAAACTTAATTATTACGTCTGTTTTTTATAGGAGTTTGTTGCAGTGCGTGTTCAAGATCCCCGCGTTCAGAACGAGGGTTCCTGGAATTCATACGTGGACTACAAGTTATTCCTACATGTGAGTTTTCACACAGGAATCATAATTAATAAAAGCACAGCTTTTCAGAAGTATACATGAACATTGTCAAACAGCAGGAATCAAGAAAAGGGATTTTTGATATTCGTGGGAACTATAATAATAAATGATAAAGGGATATTTTGAAGTATTTTTGTGTAAAAGTCATAAATACTATTTTACTGACTGTAGAAATCTTTTTGAATAGCCTGTTTTTGGAGAATTAGAATTTACATTCTTTAGGACTGATAAGCTAACGGCTAGACCTACTGCAGCCCAAAATGTATTGCTGCTAACTTAAAGTGACATCAAAGCTTCTAAATGTCACAGCAGTTCATGTGAACAATGTTCTATAAACCTTCGTTTTTCAGAACATCCGGACCCATGAATGCACCAGAGGTGCTGCATTTAGCTGCTGCTGCTATTTATAAATATATGAATTCCTAAATAACCAAGTATTTAATGTGCATAACTGTGTCAAGTAAAACTGATGACAGTTTCAAGGTTCAGAAGATTGGATCTGTTTGAAAATGGCAGCGATTCATCTTTGGTCTCAGCTGTGTTTGGACTAGCTGTTAGCTTATCAGTAAGTAATATTTATAAATAACTCTGCATAGGAAAAACAAACACATGGGACTGAGATTACTTTCATTCAAACAACTAAAAGGTGGTTACAATAATCTAAACAAGATTAGATGAAGGACAAATGATTATTTGCAATTAAGATTTAGACACTAAGGTTAGAAGTTTACAGATTAGCTAAAAAAAGAACGGTTTCTGATTAGCTGTCGAGAGTGTGGCTCTATGCCATTGGTGCCCGGTCCTGGTCCTGGAGAGCCAGTATCCAGCACATTTTAGTTTTAACTCTGTTTCAACACACCTGATTTCAGTCAGCTGGGGCCTCATTTATCAAGCTTCCTTACGCACAAAACAGGGTTGGAAAACTGCGTAAGCAACTTTCCAGGCAAACTTTGGGATTTATGAAAGAAAACTTAGCGGAAAAATGTGCGCAACTTTAAGTTGACTAAGGACCTGGCTTACGCACATTTTCGACATGGAGAGCACCTGCAGTGCTGCTGCTGAGGATAAAATTATGAAATCCTGCAGCATTATCACTTGTACTGCTTCGTTTTCACACAGAACAAGACCTCCCACACGCACACACATGCGCGCGCACACAGTCTGAAGCACAGAATACAGAATGCAGAATATCAGCAGGGGAACGGATTGAGACAGAATGTCATGCGTCTGTGACAGTGTGTGTGTCCTGTCACTGTGACCCGATAGATCATGCGCCCTGGCCACTTGTACAGGGGAGATCTCTGTTTGGCTGACTGGTTAGCGCATGTGACTTTCACCCGGGAGTCTGGGGATCGAATCCCGATTGGACTTTTTTTTTTTATACCCGCCACAGATCTCTCTGAAGAATTCACAGCATTGACGGCTTCAGCAACGCTGTGCCACTTCGTGGATTTTCTCTTATTTGTTTTGCAAAAGTACTTCCTTTCATTTCTCCACCTCACCCACAGGTACCTCAACTTCTGCTTCTGTGAAATTGCGCTTCCTTGATCTGCCTTAATCTACGATCGCCATGTCATTGGCGGAGCGCTGCAACAGCCGGCTTATATATATGCATGAGATCCACAAGGCACTTTGCATTGACAATTTATGGCAGTAAGTGGGCGTGGTGAAGGCGGGATGTGACTAAAATGCAGCTGAGAAACATTCTCGTTAGTCTCCGATTTATGAAGCGGAGATTGCGTGCAGCTGTGCGTACTCCATGTTTGATAGATCACAAACCTACTTGGCATAAGTACATTTTTTTTGCTGAGCTTAGGTACGGTTTTAGTAAGGGGTCTATGCCGTGTTTGATAAATGAGACCCCAGGTGATTAACAGGCTTCTGTAGAGCCTGATGAGCTGCTGCACAGGCGATTTAACCACTGAATCAAGTTTGTTGGAGTAGAGAAACCACTAAAACATGCTGGATACCGGCCCGCCAGGGCCAGGATTGGGCACCCCTGCTGTCCTGTATGACAAAAACTCCCATTCTCGTTAAGCTATCTACAGTAGGTATGATAATAAGTATTTATAACTTTTACACCAAACGCACTTGAGAAAGGTCAGTTTCCTTTTAACCATTAAAGGGCCTGCGCAAAACAGAAGTGCTGAAATCTTGTAATACACTTTTAACAAACTGTACCAAGTTAACAAAGATCAACTTGATTCTACACAAAGGTTGTTCCTCAGAATATAAATGTAGCAAGATAATCATTCCTAGAAGAGTTTAACCTGTGTTTTGGGTGAATCCAGACAGGACACAGCTTCAGACTCCACATCTACAATTTGTCTGGACAGGCGTGTGTGTTGTCATGGCAGCAGCTGGTGTTGAGCAGTCGTCAGCATTAAGGTTGCGTGCAGACTCGTGTGTCGTGTGGGTGCTGACTCATGAAAGTGACTGGGATCAAGTGACTTCATGCAATCTTTAACGGATTTGCTTGTGCAGACATGTTGGATCTGCTGCTTTCTGGTCAGAATAAGGAACGCTCTACTTTTATCTGCTCAAAAACCTACTAATATGTTATCTTCTTTATAGCATTACAACAACAAGGCAAAAGGGACTTTTACAGGATGTTGCCCATGTTAACGTGTCTCATTTCCTCCTAACAACAGCCTAGCTTAATTCAGATTACTGCTGTACAGGCTTCAGATTCTCAAATTAAAGCAGAAATGTGCAAAAAAAAAATTCAACAAATTCTCTTCTAAAATAATGTTGTCATCTAATTGATTATTTGTCATTGTAGCTTTGTCAGTGAAAGGACATTTTACCCTTCGGTGCTGTGGTTTTACCCTTCTCTCCATTACTAGCATGACTTTAACATGAATCAGTAGTGGCATTCTGCAGCAGCAGCCCATGATGCTAACACTTTAGTATCACATGTGAGTGGAACAAATCTGGCATGTGATAATTGCTCCTGTGTTGACCACAAGATCAGTGACAGATTGAGCAGCTGGATTATGCGTCATTTACATCTCAGCACTGCATGAAATGAGTTTATAATCTGTAAACAGGAAGAACGAGGGTCCCGTTACTTCCCGTCTGACTCAACTTCAAACCCAAATCCTGGAGTTTAGTTTTGTCTTTAAAACAGCAAAATAATAAATGAAACTTTTGTTTGTTTGTTTTTTTATTTCCTGCAGCAAAACTTTTAGATCACATGAATTTAAGAGTTATTTATGACAGAGATGACCTTTCAGATTAACTGATAAGGACAATCACCAGTTTGATGCGTTGATGATGTTTAAATGGTCCTTTTATTGTTTCTGTGTTTGTCCTCAGACCAACAGCAGAGCCTTCACAGCTAAGACGTCATGCGTGCGCCGGCGCTACAGCGAGTTTGTGTGGCTCAAGAAGAAGCTGCAGAAGAATGCAGGCCTGGTGTAAGTCAGATCGTCCTCATTTCTTTGCTAAAATTAATGAACAAAAATCTAGTTGTTGTTCATAAATGACCAAAAACAAACAGGATGTTAAATATCATGACAGAAATGTTTATTTCTGCTAATTTACCTTCACATAGGAGCCTTTGACTGAACAGGGAGACGTTCTAAATCACCCGTTGAACAGTTTTCTGTCCACTTTGTTTCTAGTTCTTCCATAAAGCTCCATTAAAGGTTTTTTATGCCTTAATTACATCTGGACAAGACTTGTATGTGGGTGGATCTGCCGTTGTCTACAGGTCATCCAGAATGCCAACGTTTGCTGTTGGACTCCAGTTTGTTTCCACCTCTCTGTTCTTATTTCTGAGTTTTCTTAGTTTTACATTTTTTTAAACATCAACCAGTGAGCTTCTGTTGCTGTGTGTCTAAGATCTAAACTAACACATAAAGGCGATCAAGCTTTTAGGGTAAATCTCAGCTTAGGGCTCTAGGAGTGCAACCCTGCTCCTGTTATCTCTAGAGGGTATTTCATTGTGTTTGAGTTGTTCTCTTATATCTCATCCTCTTGCTGTTTGACATAACTGCCCAGAACGAGCTTCTGTAATTCAGATGCTTATAAAATCAGCATGTTGTAGCAGTCATGATAGAGATTTACCTTCTCTTCTTCGTCTTCGTCTTCCTCCGCTTATCCGGGTCCGGGTCGCGGGGGCAGCATCCCAATTAGGGAGCTCCAGGCCGTCCTCTCCCCGGCCTTGTCCACCAGCTCCTCCGGCAGGACCCCAAGGCGTTCCCGGACCAGATTGGAGATGTAACCTCTCCAACGTGTCCTGGGTCGACCCGGGGGCCTTCTGCCGGCAGGACATGCCCGAAACACCTCCCCGGGGAGGCGTCCAGGAGGCATCCTGACCAGATGCCCAAACCACCTCAACTGGCTCCTTTCGATCCGGAGGAGCAGCGGTTCTACTCCGAGTCCCTCCCGAATGTCCGAGCTCCTCACCCTATCTCTAAGGCTGAGCCCGGCCACCCTACGGAGGAAACTCATTTCGGCCGCTTGTATCCGCGATCTCGTTCTTTCGGTCATTACCCAAAGCTCATGACCATAGGTGAGGATTGGGACGTAGATCGACCGGTAAATCGAGAGCCTGGCTTTCTGGCTCAGCTCCCTCTTCCCCACGACAGATCGGCTCAGCGTCCGCATCACTGCAGACGCCGAACCAATCCGCCTGTCGATCTCCCGATCCCTCCTACCCTCACTCGTGAACAAGACCCCGAGATACTTAAACTCCTCCACTTGAGGTAGGACCTCTCCCCCGACCCGGAGGTGGCAAGCCACCCTTTTCCGGTCGAGAACCATGGTCTCAGATTTGGAGGTGCTGATCCTCATCCCAGCCGCTTCACATTCGGCCGCGAACCTTCCCAGCAAGAGCTGAAGGTCAGAGCTGGATGAAGCTAGGAGGACCACATCATCCGCAAAAAGCAGAGACGAGATTCTCCTGCCACCAAACTCGACACACTCCACACCACGGCTGCGTCTAGAAATTCTGTCCATAAAAGTGATGAACAGAACCGGTGACAAAGGGCAGCCCTGGCGGAGTCCAACCCTCACTGGGAACAGGTCCGACTTACTACCGGCTATGCGGACCAAACTCACGCTCCTCTGGTAAAGGGACTGAATGGCCCTTAACAGAAAGCCACCCACCCCATACTCCTGGAGCGTCCCCCACAGGGTGCCCCTGGGGACACGGTCATAAGCCTTCTCCAAATCCACAAAGCACATGTGGATTGGTTGGGCAAACTCCCATGCCCCCTCCATCACCCTTGCAAGGGTATAGAGCTGGTCCACAGTTCCACGGCCAGGACGAAAACCACATTGCTCCTCCTCTATCTGAGATTCAACTATCGATCGGACCCTCCTCTCCAGTACCTTGGCGTAGACCTTTCCAGGGAGGCTGAGGAGTGTGATCCCCCTATAGTTGGAACACACCCTCAGGTCACCCTTCTTAAAGATGGGGACCACCACCCCGGTCTGCCACTCCCTAGGAACTGCCCCCGATGACCACGCAATGTTATAGAGACGTGTCAACCATGACAGCCCTACAACATCCATAGCCTTGAGAAACCCAGGACGAACCTCATCCGCCCCCGGGGCTCCGCCGCTGTGTAGTTGTTTGACTACCTCAGCAACTTCTGCCCCCGAGATCGGACAGTCCATCCCCAGGCCTCCCAGCTCTGGTTCCTCCTCGGAATGTGCATTGGTGGGATTGAGGAGCTCCTCAAAGTATTCCTTCCACCGTCCGACTATAGCCTCAGTTGACGTCAGCAGCTCCCCATCCCCACTGTAAACAGTGTGAGCGAGTTGCTGCCTTCCTCTCCTGAGGCGCCGGACAGTTTGCCAGAACCTCTTTGTAGCCGATCGATAGTCTTTCTCCATGGCCTCACCAAACTCCTCCCACGCCCGAGATTTTGCCTCGGCAACTGCCACTGCTGCACCCCGCTTGGCTATCCGGTACCTGTCTGCTGCCTCCGGAGACCCACAGACCAGCCACGCCCTGTAGGCCTCCTTCTTCAGCCTGACGGCTCCCCGAACCTCTGGTGTCCACCAGCGGGTACGGGGGTTGCCACCACGACTGGCACCGGCCACCTTACGACCACAGCTAGCAACAGCCGCCTCGACAATCGCAGAGTGGAACAAGGCCCACTCGGACTCAATGTCCCCCACTGCTCTCGGGACGTGGTCAAAGCTCTGCCGGAGGTGGGAGTTGAAGACCATCTTGACAGGTTCTTCTGCCAGGCGTTCCCAGCAGACCCTCACTATGCGTTTGGGTCTGCCAGGTCTACGCGGCATGTTCCCTTGCCATCTGATCCAACTCACCACCAGTTGGTGATCAGTTGACAGCTCCGCCCCTCTCTTCACTCGGGTGTCCAAAACATACGGCCGCAGGTCAGATGATACGACTACAAAATCTATCATCGACCTGTGACCTAGGCTGCCCTGGTACCAAGTGTACCGGTGGGCATCCTTATGTTCGAACATGGTGTTCGTTATGGCCAAACTGCGGCTTGCACAGAAGTCCAATAACAAAACACCGCTCGAGTTCAGATTAGGTGGGCCGTTCCTCCCAATCACACCCCTCCAGGTCAAGCTGTCATTGCCCACGTGAGCATTGAAGTCCCCCAGCAGGACAATGGAGTCCCCTGATGGAGCACTATCTAGCACTCGTCCCAGGGACTCCAAAAAGGGTGGGTACTCTGAACTGATATTTGGCCCATAAGCACAAACAACAGTCAGGACCCGTTCCCCGACCCGAAGGCGCAAGGAAGCTACCCTCTTGTCCCCCGGGGTAAACCCCAACACACAGGCAGAGAGTCTCGGGGCTAACAAAAAGCCAACCCCAGCCCTCCGCCTCTCACCCGGAGCAACTCCAGCAAAGTAGAGTGTCCAACCCCTCTCCAGGTCTCGGGTTCCAGAGCCAATGCAATGTGTCGAGGTGAGTCCGACTATATCTAGCCGGTACTGCTCCACCTCTGCCACAAGCTCCGGCTCCTTCCCCGCCAGCGAGGTGACGTTCCATGTCCCAAAAACTAGTTTTCTTGTCCGGGGATTGGACCGCCAAGGCTCCCGCCTTGGTCTGCCACCCGATTCGCATTGCACCGGACCCTTCATGTTCCTCCTGCGGGTGGTGGGTCCACAGTTGGACGAGCCCATGTATCCGGTTCGGGCCGGGCCCCATGGGCGAAAGCCCGGCCACCAGGCGCTCGCTCACGGGCCCCAACCCCAGGCCTGGCTCCAGGGTGGGACCCCGGTAACCCTCCGGGCCGGGTACTCCGACTCTTCGTTTTAACTGCCATGAAAGATCCTTCGAACTGTTCTTTGTCTCACCCTTCACCTAAGACCAATTTGTCATGGGAGACCCTACCAGGGGCACCAAGTGCCCCAGACAACATAGCTCCTAGGATCATTAGGGCACTCAAACTCCACCACCACGATAAGGTGACGGTTCAAGGAGGAGATTTACCTAAATATTAAAAATGAGTTCTTGTCCTAGTCCTGTTCCGGATCTTCCAGGAAAATCCTTCTTCTACTTCAGCAATGAGGACTTTCTGGAGAGGAGGAGGAAAGGACTTCAGGCCTTCTTAAACAAGTCAGTTTACCGTCTAATGAAAGTTTATCATCTGCTGCTGTGAAGAGTCTCTACTTCCAACATCTTTGTTATGGTTGCAGCGTGGTGCACATGACTGTATGTCTGTCAGACAGCCAGCTCCACCTCTTCCTGCAGACGCAACTGCCCATCAGTCACATCCAGGACTGCGTCCAGGGCCTCACTCCCTACTCTGTGACGGACGCCATCCTCACCTACGCCTCATCCAATCGGGGACTAGCTCAGGCTCAGGAGGACTCCATCAGGGAGCACAGTTTGACCATTTCTTACGAGTCAATGGAAAGGTATGAAAGAGGAACACTGGTTAAATGTGTAATTTCTGCACTTTGTGTAACCTTTTTTCTCCGCTAATGCTCTACAGTCCAGCTCCCCATCAGCCTAATGCCCCCTCCAACTTTAAATCACTCCCATGTGGCGACTCGGATGCTCTGGAAGATATTCTGGAGCTCAGTGAGCAAGACTTGGATGAAACGCTGCTCAAGCAGAATCCCTCAGTAACCATCTCCCAGAGAAGTGACCATTTGGAGGCTGTTGTCGAGGACTGTGACCCCACACAGGCCACCTTTTACCTGGGGGAGACCTCGGATGATTCTGGGAGTCTCAGCTCCACGGAGCAGACGGAACGGAGGAGCTGCCAGATTCAGACTCCGGTGGAGGTCCATTCCCCCATGAGGACAGATGGTGGAGTGGACAGCATGTTTGAGGAGGAGAGCGTTACCATAAACACAGAAGAAAACACAGAGGATCACTTGGACTCCAAAGAAAACGAGGATATAGAAAAATCTGAGACAGGAATTTTTGTAAATTCAGAAGAGATTTTAGGTTTGAAGGTTGCTGATGAAGAGCAGGAAGTTACAAGATTAGAAGATGTCTGCTGTGAAAATCCCTCTCAGGTTCCCAAAAGCCATGTGGTTGATGTCAAACCAGTAAGAGACTTGGAAAAGAAAAAGAGTCCTGAACCAGGCAGAGAAGAGGAAACTCTCCTTCAGTCCGAACACCACGAGGAGACTCAGATTATGAACGGAGCACCAGAGGTGGACACCGATGACTCGGCATTAAAACTTCACCAGGAGGAAGTTGGACACAAAGAGGACAGCTGTGATGAAGACAGCTGTTCACTGCTGTCTTCTAATGAGAGCATTGTGAAGTGTAGCGAGGAGGAAAAGGAGGACTTGATGCTCATCAGGTCGTCTCTTGAGGATGTCCAAAACTGGTCTGAAGTGGACGTCTCCACTAGGGACATTCTGGACCTGCATGTGAATGGGTGTCTTGAGGAAAAAGAGGACATTTCTGGTCAGGAGGATGAACATCAGCAATATGTGACCAACCTGAGTGAATTGAGTCAGTCTCCAGAGCTTAAGGCAGCTGTTGCCGTTGGAGATTTGAATGAAAACAGTGACTTCAGCATCTTAGGGTCCAGCTGTCAGTCAGGAGGAGGTGATGGTAAATGCACACAGCAGGACATCCTGTCCTCGTCTTCTCTGGATGGGTCAGGGGAGAGTCTGGGACTGGAGGTGCATTAGAGAGACTAGTGGACTGTCCTCCAGATCACTTCAGTTACGGCGGTCTTCCACCAAAGACACATGAAGTCACGTACTGAGAGAGGTGTTCTGTTATCAAAAACTCTTAACATAATAAATACCGTGCGCTAAAGACACAAGCTTATTTAAATTTGACTCCTGGTGGTTTGATTTTCGATGATTCTTCATGTTGAATCTCTGAGCCTGCAGAGGGCACTAAAAGGTCACGGAAGGCCAATTTACACCAAGTTCAGATGTTTTTTATCAGCCTGGAGGGTGGGTTGTTAAATGTGAGGAGAATAGAACACTGGATGTTTTATTCCATGACAAATGCATCTGATAGACCTTTCTGCTGTGATGATGCAGCTTCAGGAGGTAAACCAGCCTTATTGTTTGCTCGCTCGCTGAGCTGCAGACATGAGAGGTGTTTCTATTGAAATGTTTGGGTTCTGGATGCATTTAATTCAAGAAGCGATCTTCAAACATGAAGACCCCATACTGTGATGTGTTTGTGTCTTTGGAGAATGCAAACCTTTTCTTTGTTGGTGTTACTTTTACCAACATCTGTGAGCAAATCACTCACTATCGTTGGGACCTAGCCCTGCTTCTGGATTACTGTTGTGTGTCATCTTCATAGTTTGTAATCTGGGTTACTCCTGAGGGAAGATGACGGCACAGACAACAACAAAACAAATCTGAATATGTGACCGGTGGATTAAATCAGATATTTTCATTAAACCCAAACAGTTTTCCTATTTGTGCTTGATGCTTTTAACACAGGGCGGTTCTTAGACACGTTTTCATCGTGTTAATGAGGACGCTAATGTGAATTCTCTGTTCACTTTTTTTGAAGAGTTAAACAAATGTTATAAATCTGCATTCACTCTTGCTTCTTACTGGAAAATGATCTCCGATAAGAACATGCTTGTTTTCTTTTCTGACAGTTGGAGCCTCAAGTCCAAAGATGAGTGATGGTTACAGTTTGACCTCCTGACACTTTACAGCATCTCAAAGGGACCTTTGGTGTTTAGTTGTTTCACATGTTTAAATGTGCTGCTTTTGACTTTTGCCTATTTGAAAATGTTTAGTTTCTTTAACAAAAAGGAAGTGATACTACTGTTCAGGATGATGGATCTACAAGGGTAACTTTTGTATTAAAACATTTTGCTTCAACACAGTGTCATAGCTGTTTATTTTTTTTAATCAAATGAATGGCTTTTAGATATGGACCAATCCTGCCACCTAGTGGCTGAAATTTAACTGACAGTCAAACTCTGTGGTGTCTAACGTCTCAAGATGAGGTCTAAGGACCCGAAGATCCAAAAAAGGCATATTTGTAAAATTCTGAACGTATTATTTTATTTTTTTGCTTTTATTCTAAACAGTTAACGTACAGGTGGAACTCTGAAAATTGGAATATGGAGCAAAATTTCATTTGTCAGTAATTCTATTTAAAAGGTGAAACTAATATGAGACAGACTCATTCCATGCAAAGCCGGATAATTCAAGCCTTTATTTGTTATACCCGTGATGCTTATGGCTTACAGCTGATGAAAACTTCACATTCAGAATCTCAGACTATTAGAATATTGTGGAAAGGTTATCAGACTCAAAGTGTCATATCAGCTTATAAATCCAAAACACCTGCAAAGCGTTCCTGAGTCTTTAGATGGTTTCTAAGATGGATTACTGAAATAAGTTGCTTTGTAAATGAGACGTAGTTTCAAAAAATGTGTACATAGTTATTTTATAAAAAGGAACCTGAAAAAGTTCAAAACATAAATGTCTCCATCTGTATTTAGTCAGTTTGTTGCATCACATTTTGCTGTGTAAATAAACATTTGTTTATATTTTGTGATCATGAGGTGACTCCACAAATAACTCAAAGGGCTTTTCCATCCATTTTTAAGTGTTTGGGTTGACCACCTTCCTGACAGGTGTCTGTTCAGAGAAATAGCCGTTTTACCCATGACATCAGTCATAACACACTCCTCTACATGTAAACCTGTGGTTGTTTACAAGCAGTAACAGCTGAATTATGGTGCATCCAGGGTCAGGCCCAGCACTCACTTCTTAATATTTCTGTCTAAAGGTACTGAAGAGAAAAGGTTATTAATAAACAAAATTGTATTTTATTATTTTTTTACTGGGGAAATCCTTTAAAATGACTGAAAAATTCCTTTGAGATGACACCAAAACTGAAAACTTTAAACCGTTCCACAGCTCGGTCATCAAAAAGATCAATCTGAATAATTAAATATCAGTTCCAGCAAAACACAAGTGGTTTATAGTGTAGAGAAATAACTAACAACAGCACATATACTACAAATTTACATTATAATAAGTGAAGGAAAATAAACATTTCTGTTGTCTGGTGAAGTTATGGCTGGATGTGTCGGTGGCGGCAGCGCTGCAAAGAGGAAAAGAAACATCAGAAAAACATCCATTAATAATTCAGAGTCCATTTAAGCTGGGCCTATCTAACAGTCATATGGAATTATTTTCTTAAATAGGACAAATGACGCTGTAATCAGGCTTTTGGAGCACATATTTATTCACACGGATTGCCCATTGCGCCGTTCGGATTGCTTTATGCAGTACTTCTTCCAGCCAGATGATGCCTTAAACCGCAGGTCAATGACTGAATCAACCTTAGTGGTAGTCAGGATGAGCACCAGGTGGACACTTTCTGTGTGTTAGGCCTCAATCATGGTCCATAACGCTCATGAGAAGAGAGTGTCTCACACCTGTTGGAGCTCAGAGGATGTAGGCGGGTTGCAGGAAGTCTTTGGGGACGATACCGACGGTGCCGTCCAGTTCGCCGACCCACCAGCCGAAGATGTTGTACTCCTAAAACCAAAAATGCAATCTGTGTGAGAGCTTCACAAACACGTTCAACCATAAAAACCACATTTGCATTTGACTTGATTGTGTTGTTTACTCCAGATTATTCATGCGATAACAAGATGACCTGAACCGCAGTTCTGTCGTGTGTCAAATGTCAAGTCGCTTCAAAAATGTTCTTGTGTTGCTTAAAGTCAATTTAAGCAAAGGACATCCAGAAGAGTCCGGAGCCCATCCCACCAACGGCCATTTGCAATATTCTAATAGACATTTGGGCTCATTAGCTTCGGGGGTTTTCATTAAAAATTGTACAAAACGGTAAACAAGGCAATCAAGATGGTAATTTTCTAAAATAAAACAGCTTTTTTAAACTGCTCTAAAGCCATAAGCACAGCTGGCTTCCTTCCCCCGGACTAATTAAGTGGAGACATCTTCTCTGCACTGTGACTGAAACGACAAAAAAACAATCAGATTTCCCTACAATGCTTCGTTACCTCAAAAAAACAAACAAACAAAAAAAAAAAAAAACACAAAATAATAAATTTGCATAAATTTTCACTGCAAAAACTGTTCCTTCAGGGGCGAACAGAAATATTAAATGAGCTTTCTTTTTTTTCTGTTTTAATTCGCTATTTTTGTCTAAAATGATTAAAACAAACCAGGAGGTGTTTGAGTCAGACTGAAGCAAATCAAAGGAATTAAGCTAAATTATATTTATATTTAGGAAAAGAAAAAAATGTGGGTTGAATTTAGTGGATTTAAAAAAAGACACACCAAACAGATGTCATTTAGAGCAAATAAAGCCATTTTTAAAATTACTTTATCTTTTTTAACTCCTTCTTTGTCTGGTTTATCATTAACAGATGCAACAGTGAAATCAATGTTTGACAAGAATTTAACAAAATTTTTAACAATTTGAGATGTCACTTCCTAAATGAAACATTAATCAATTTCCCTCTGGGATTAATAAAGTATTTTTGAATTGAATTGAATTTGAATTAACTGTTCAGATTTGATCCGTTTCCTAAGACAGTTTCCTTTATATCCATCTATGAGATGGAAGCTCATCGTGAGCTGAAGCCGCATCGACCACCACATGATCGTCTGATCACAGCTGAGCCAGAGTTAAGTCTGTTGGGGTCAATATTTGGCCAAAGACCAAAAGGAGGCAAAATCCCAGCAAAGGAGAAACTAGCCAATCCTGGTTCTGATGAAGCGTTTCCTGTCATCCCTCCTCTGTTCTCCAGCAGATTGAAAATGGCTGCAGTTCATCTGACCACCTTACACACATGCGTGTGTAGGTGTGTGAACATTTGGTAGTCCTGCTCCCAGTTGCAGGAGCACAAACCCACGCTGACATGATGAAACGTTTTGTGTCAAAGGTTTAGATGATCTGTGAGGCTCGACGCCTCTCTGCAGCCAGAGAAATGAGGCCTGCAGCTAATGAGCTGTTCCCGGACAGGGAGGATGGATGAAGCGCTCCGACGGTGATAAACCACAAGACTCACGAGTCTTTACAGCACAAACACACATAAGCAGATTGTCCACCCAGGCCTCATCGTCTCCCCCACTAACAGCAGCTCAGACTGGGATGTTCGGTGCACTTGGCTCTCTGACAAACTGACAATCCATCGCGTGTCTGAGCTCGTAACGAAAGGAAAAGTTAGGTAGAAATGGTCTTTTTATGCTCCCCACAAGACCAAAGAGGGGAAAATCCAGAAAGCTGGCTCCGGCTCTTGGAAGACCGTGAGCAGAGGAAGGGAGGGGAGACAGACGGACACGGGGGGGTAAGGCATTTCAGAACGAAGGAAGCGAAACAGTTCTTCTCTCCCTTGGGGGCGTCGCAGCACTATTCCACCAACCGTGGTGACAGAGAGTTTTATTTATCTCCGCAGCCCATCTGTGCAGTCGGTCTCAAATTCTCCCTGAGAAAGGTCTTTTGGATTATCAGCGCCGCCATTTTAATACAACTGCTACATCACAGAGAGGGTGCCAATGGCGGCGGAAGTCTGTCAGGCGTGCCGAGTCCATCTTCCTCGTACTTGAAATGGGTTCATCCAGAGTACACCTGCTGTAATAGGGACATTCCAAAAGGCGCGGAGTAAATTATCCAAATGACAAAAACTACGCTAGCTCCTCTGTGTCAGCCTCTGTGTTTTCTTCTAACTGAAGTTTAGAAACGTGGGGGGTGAGAGTACAAAAAGGCACGTTTGAGCTTTTAGCAGCACTGTTACACATATTTATGTCTCAGTAAGAGCCAGTTAGGGCGGAAGAAACAAATGTTGTGGGAAGTGTCTGACAGCAGCAGCAGGAAGTCTGAACAGCGACATGGATCAGATCCGAGTGTGTTTGCTGCATCCAGTCGGCTCCATGTGGGAGCAGGGGGTGGGGGGGGTGGGGGGGTGGGGGGCAGGCAGAACAGCGCCTTGTCGAGGCGGCTGCGGCGTGTTGACTCGCTGACCTCCCGGTGACTCCTCCGCTGAGAGCGCTCGGAATGAGGGTGGGCGGGGCTGGCACTGAGAGTGTGTTACTATGACAACACCTGCAGTGTACCGGCGTGATCGTTTATTTACCACTCAGGGGGGCTGGCTAATGGTGGCATTCTGATAGGCCCATCGCTCACGCTGCCGACCGGAGGACAGACTGACAGCTATCGGAGCCTGAAGCGAGGAGGTGAGCCGAGGCTGCTCGGGTGGAGCAGGTGTCACGTCCCGCCGCCATTATGCACTCAAACAAAACATCTCTCCTGCATCTGTTTTCTGCCTTGGAAAATTCTGCCCTTTAAAAAAATAACATCCTAAACACATTCTTCCTTTTCTCTTTCCCTCACACACCTTCGACAGTTGAAACGCAAACACACACACACACACACACACAATCCCAAATGCATACAAACTAGGGGGAGTGCTAATAAGCCTGACACATGAGGCATCTCTCCTCGGCCACCAGCTGACTGAGGCAGGCCTTGGGCGTGATGGAGCGCAGGAAGTCTCTCATTGCCCTGCCGCTGAACCCACCGCCTGGTTGTTATAATCTCTCCCTCCTTCCACATTTCCAACCCCCTCCATCTTTCCATCTTTTCCTCTCTTCCCGTTTCTCCTAGAGCAGCCTTTCTGCTCCCATCCCAGCTTTTCGCTCTCTTCGATTCTCTGCACAGACTCACCAGATGCACTGCGGCTCTCTGCGGTCCTTCCACCATGCCATCAGAATAATAAAGAAACAACTTGGGAGCAGGAACAAACTCACGACCCCTAAACCTGCCTTCAGGTTAGCTGCTGCTTACACAGGTGCACTCGACATCCAGGTGTACAAAAAATGTGAGAGTACATCTAATAAGGAGGCTTCGCGGCTAAAATGTAGCTGAAGTCCCTGAAAAATGTGGATGATAACCAGAGACCGGAATGGCTACTTAGTGTCCGTTTTTCCGAGTGGGCTTTTAATTAAATCAGTGAATTGGCCTCAAATTGGAAACATGACAGAACATGAGAACGTTTGAAAATATCTCAGGGACGATGAGATTTAATAAAAAGATAACCTACTTGCTTCTTTCTAATGCACGCCTGGGATTACAGATAGCTTCTTAACTTAATAGCAATTTAAAGTGGATTTGTGTATGCCACTGAGTGTCTGTAATGATGGCTGTTTATGCCGCCCCTCATTTATAATAATTAAGCAGAATGGACCGGGGGGGTGTGGGTTGCTCGGACGCGGTTCTGGGCTATTGGCTTGGGCTGAATAATGACCTACTGTAGTTGACCGGGGAATGACCGCTGCCTCCTGCATGACCCCGGACCCCAGACTCACCCCCTGCTACTTTGGGTGGTAAATAGGATGTCTTGCCTGTCTATAGTGTCTTGGTGTCTATGGCCACAATAGCAGCTAGGGGTCTTTAAGTTGGTGTGTGACAGGGTTCACACAAAAGAATGGATGGGACCCCCCCCCCCCCCCCTCTTTGTCTCTGTTGCTTGACTTTTCCCATCTGACTATTTGCCCACTTTTCCTTTTCTTCTGCTGAATGTGTGACCTGTGGACAGCAGGCTGAGTCCGAATAAAAGCCCTCAGTTTGAAGCTTTTATTTCAGAGACTTTGAACAAAAATACAGTTCTGATGTCTTAACTCGACTTTTCTTATGAGAAGTCAACTTTAAATCAAGTCAAAATATCTCTAGATCAGCTATAATGCGTTGGACAACTGCCTGAAACCACCACTAGGTGTCAGTGGTGTCCACGTTCTTCTAGCAACTTTGACCAAGCTGAGGTGACGCTGTGCTTTGGGAGCCGCACCGGATTGGCTGTTCCAGCTCCCTCTCTCTAGGATCTGGTTGGACGCAAGAGGGAGTAAGGGAAGTGAGGAGGGCAGCGGGGAGAAGGAGGAGGGAGAAACAGCACCAACACTTGCCAGAGTTTTAAGGACCATGGATGGGTTTGTGTCATAAATCTCGTCCCACTCCATCCTGCCGTTCCCCATGAGTGCCTGTGGGAATACAGGAATGTGGCAGCTGACCTGTAGAGCTCATGTCTTTTGATTCTGGGTACATAAATTTGAGGGCAAGAATGCAAGACAACCTTCTGCTTTGGTGTTGGACGGGTCCGACAGAATGCATGGGAAACACACAAGTCCGGGAAACGGGGAACAATAGTTTCTGCTGCTGCGGCGAATGAATCTGATGCACGTTCTAAATCCTGCTATGATGCAGCTTAGCTGAAGCTGAAAAAAATGATCCAGTGATTAAAATGTCAGCATAAAGTCACAATGTGCTTCAGGGAAAGGAAAATTGAATGCTAGGGGTGGGGAAAAGCCCACAAGATGGATTTTAAGGTGTTTGCAGCTCATGTATCATCACCACGGAGCTCCGCGTTAAGCGTGTTAGACATCGCCGAGACTGGCGCTGAAGCAACGCCACCAGATTAATCCTCTCGAACTAATGGGATTCGTATGAGTTGTGAGGCTCCTAATTTATTTACTTTGTCGCTGATGCTTGAATATGAGCGCGCACACATCAACACACAAGAGAGAAAAAAACACAAATACAGTAAAAAAAAATGCCCCCACTTTACAGTAAGTGAGGGATCAATAATGATAGATGAGGGCCTTTTATACAATCGGCATGTTCTCCTCAGTTCACAGCCATATGACACCACGCCTGTGGCTATCCCATTCTGCACTTCAGCAGTCAATCACATGCTAGCTTTAAAAATAACAGTTTGTTAGCACCATTGATTTAGCACTTAGAGCGTGTCCTTATTACCTTGTAATTATGGTCAGTGTTGACATAACAGCACAGACAACCAGGCCTCCCACCCTCCAACAGAATTTATGGGCCCTGGTTTTATTACGGCCATTTCATGTGTCTGGGTCCCCAGTTAAGCGACAGCGTTGAGTTCTAGCCAAGGGCCCGTATTTCACTCATCGAGGTCAGGGTTCTCGAGGAGTCCCCCCGTAAAACGGAACAGTGGCGGGGTCTGCGCGTCGACACGGGGGAGTCCTCCCCAAGGGCTCATTAAAATAAACAGGCTATAATCCAAATAATGCCATTCACTGGGGCAATGGTGACGCTATTAGGACGCAAAATGGGACACGGGTTGAGTCGTGTCGTTGGAGAAAGCCAAACATTCGGAGGCCGTCCGCAGATCCCATCTAAATAATTTACAACCTGACCCTCGCTTAACGTCCATTAGAAGATAATCAGACTGCTTTCCTGGTCCGTCACTGCGTTAGGGCTTTATCTTTGGAGCCCGACAAAACAAGAATAATCTGCATTGTTAAAATTCCCAGAAACAAAACTAACAGCTCCTACCTGGACTGTTTGTTTTGAAGGTCTTAAGTGAGGCAGTAATCTGATCTAAACAGTGAAATATAATCCACCAGCAGGGCCAAGGCTGCAGAGAAAAGTCAGCCCCTCTTTGTTACCTTCCAGTACGCCGCTTTTGTCATCATTATGTGAAAAATGAAGGTGGCCGTTTTGAAAATTTCGCCCTATCAACCAGCACACACAGATGGAGAAGGCTGGCTTCTCATTAATCAGATTCTGCCAAGAGGAGCTCAATTAAACCTCCATCTTCTGTGATGAGTACATTTCACCTGGGCTTAACATGTTGGTATAAACACGACAATCACGTTCATTAAAGCCGATGCCGTTTAGCCATTTAGACCTGAAACATCTACCGCCATGACGCAAACACCTGTAAAGAAAATGCTTCAAATAATTAATATTTCAACGATCAAAGTTGAGAAATTGTTGAAGCTGAACGCACAATCTCCAAATCTCTAACTCGTAATTAGGAGAAAATAAGATCCTTCCTTCTTCCTGCCTGTCTTCTTCAGATAATTTGGGCTAAACACAGAACATGATGATTCAATTTGAAATCGACCAATAGCAACAATCTGGGAACAAGTCCCAGAGTAGAAGTGCCCGAATTACAAGTCATTGATTTCCAGTAGGATGTCTTTTCACTGGTAGATACTCTGCATGTTACGACAAGACGGCCATAAAACACGAGGAAACAGATTGAGGGAAAAGAGCTGAGATGCAGGATGGCTTTCACCTGCAGTTTACATCAAACAGAAAGGAAGAGCCTTGCATGGCTGCCTACTCAATTAACCCCTGTGATAGAGGCTCCATAATGAACAACAGCTCCATTACGCAGCATCCGAATGGCGCCTCACCCGAGCGGCCCGGGAGCAGACAATACAGCTGCTGGTGCTTCTCCGCTGCGTTGAGATCCAAGTGCACGCTAACGGAGGAATTTAGATGTTGGAGGTATCAGCAGGTTCAGAAATTAAACGAGGATGGGGGGGCATTACTGAGGCTGATGTTGTTTAACCCTTAAATAATTAGGCTTTTTACACATCTGCCTCTCATTTGAAACCACTACAGCTGCTCATAGAAACATAGCAACAAGTCACGTTCCTGCTCAGAAATTTACTTCCATTAGAAATGAAAAGTAACCTGATCTAACAAAGTAGTTCTAGAAACTACAGGAATAGAAGACAAGTTTAAATAACCTCCTGGATTGACTTAGCTGACCTTGCTAATGATGTAGATGAGATCTCCTCTCTTAAAGTCCAGCTCATCTGGCTCATCGGCCGGGCAGTCCCATAAACCCTGGTAGTAGTTAGCGTACTCTGATGACCACGCTGAACGGAGAGAAAAGAAAACACATTCAGATAGAAATACCGATGGCACAGCTCCACCAGGGAACAGGTTCTGACCTGATTTGTTCTCAGTGCCATCATCAGCTTGTACCGAATCCTCCTCCTCTGGACAAACAAAAGAAAAGGATGAAAAGGAAACAAAACCTAACATTTGGTCATTTAAAACATTATTAATAAACTATTTGGGGGTGGGGGAGGAGATCAGCATTAAAATAAACAGTTTTAATTATTTTAAGATCAAATTTAACAGTTGATTTTTATGTTAGCTTGAGAGCACGCTTAGCCAAAGTCAGCATCACCCTGGGCTAATGTTGGAGATAAAACAGCTTTCACACGAAAATTTCCAAATGTTCCGAAACACTGAATGGAGTTAATAACTTCCTTGCACGAGTCTCAGGGCCTTGCTGAAATTTAGAAAATGATTGAACATTTTGTTGACAAACGTTAGCTCCCATCTGCAACTGTCCTTAATTAAATCTCACTTGTTTCCCAAAGTAAAACAGTAAATGTCCTGTATTCATATAGTGCCTTCTTAGGGTTCTACAACCCCACCAAAGTGCTTCACAACACAATTAGTCATTCACCCATTCACAACACACACACACACACACACACACACACACACACACACACACACACACACACACACACACACACACACACACACACACACACACACACACACAGCTGCCCTGGCGAACACTCCGACCACCACCAGCAGGCAAGGGTAATTAGGGCCATTAGGCACCAATTTAATGAGAATCCACCTCAAAATCTCCATATTTTTTATTCAGTTTTGTGTCTCCAAACATTTGCCAAAATACACATCCAAGGGATATTGGTTTAGATGTGTTTCTTAAACCTTGATTCAGAAGAAAATGTGTTCATTTGTTAAAAATAAATAAATAAATAAAATCATTTCTGCTGCAGCAAACAGTCCCAACATCAGAGGGATCAGATGATGGGAGATATGACATTTCTTTTAGCTTCATCCAGACATATCAATACAATAAAAACAATACTGATCATTATGCAGATACGATCACGACTTTCTGGAGTCATTCTGACTGGCCCAATGGAAAGACAAAAGAATAATAAAATTCAGCAAGACTTAGATTCATTTCTACGACTGAATTTTTCTCCAATAAGTCAGAACTCCTCGATTAGAGCCAAATGGTTCAGATCATCAGATCAGAGCAAAGTTAAAGATTTAAGTCGAGCAGAGGCGGACGTGTCACCGAGTCCGGGTCGTGGCAGTCGGTGGTCTGTTAGGTGACACAGTGATACGCCTGCCCCCGTCTCCCACATCCATCCTGAACACAAGCAGGCTGACAGCAATGCCACAACCCAGCAACACAATCCACCTTCCAGCACAACCTGTGCCTTGCCTTCCAGGAAGAGCAGCAAAGATCTCACACACACACACACACACACACACACACACATGCAAGCATGCACACAAACGCACTCACATAAGCACGAACATTCCTGCTCATGTTGGAAAGTCATGGTGTAGCTAGTCCTTCCTCCACAAACATAACTTTCCTGATCAAAAGCCGCTCGTTACTAAAGCAGAAAAGAAGCGATGTTCTTTTTGTTTGTTGTGGGTCTAAACATTTGTTCAGTTCTCCTCATCTCCTGTAAAGAGAAGCATCATTCCACTGAGGAGCCGCTGCTATGGGCCGATGGTTTCGATATCAAAGTGATTTAATTTTCCAGTCAATAAAATCAGTCATCAGCACCAGAGTCAATGCCACCATCGCCTCGCAATCTGCCTGCAGCCGAGCCACGCTGCTCCGAAGAACTGATGGCTCTCATCAGCTAAAAACTGATGCTGCCGTAAAGGACGCCATTTCACAAAATATTAACATTTCTAGATGTTCAATGTTAACAACTTCAAGAAAATTAACTCCCGTGGTGGAACTTTAGATACAAGTGTGCTTGAAAATTAACAAAAATTATTTATTTTTGATAATAATCCTTAACCGGAAACCACTAACAGCTTTCTTGCTCTCCTATAGTCCTGATTAGTGGAAACATTAATAATTTAAGAGGCTCTAATCACTGTGTAAAAGCTGTTGGTGAGCACAGAGAGGTTCAGTATGATTGATAAACGACGGGGTGAGAAAGTGAACGAAAGAGCTCGTCATTCGATATGCCATCTGTGGTCAGGGTCTGTACCTCTTCCCAGATGGCTTTGAACGGCGGACATGACAGTTTGAAGACTGATTTCCCTTTCACCAGCGATTTTGGCAAAGGTAATGTACTCACGGAGTGAAACAAAATCTTGATGTATCTTATTTAATAGGAACAGTGATGGACGATGGCCCTGAAAAGATCAGATCGCCTCTTTTGTCCTTCTTGGGATCTTGTAGCTGCCCTGACACGCCAAACCACCCCTGCCCCGCCCTCCCTCACTCAGAAGGAAGTCAGGGTCTCGTCAGTCAAACTAATCTGTATTAAACACGTGACATCAAGATATCCAGTACTATTTTAAGCCTTGAAGGATGCAGTTTTTACTTCCTTTCAGTGAAACTGCTGTTGCTAGGCGATTTTGGTCAAAATTTGTCTTAGTGGATTGAGCTGTGGACTATTTGTTGCCAGGCAACATTAGCTAATTGGATGTCGTATGACAGAGCATTTCCAAACCACCCGGCTCAACCACACGAGCGCTCAGAGAGGAGCAAAACCAGATTTCAGGTCTTTCTCCTGTCCTGACTCCTGAGTGACTCTGCAGCAGATGTTTGTAACGGTTTCACGAGACTGCATGGGAGGTGTCCACCTCCTCATACCTGGCAGTGCCTCGTAGATATCCTCCCCATCTTCCTCAGCTTCATCCAGCTGTCCTCCTCCTGGTCTGATTATCAGAGGGGCTTTGGGTAACCGTGATGGGGGAGAATTGACCAATCCCTCGATGTCATCATAGGTTTCCTCCTCCTCATCCTCATCCACAGGGATGACACTGGAGCTGAGATCTAAGAGAAATGCAGAAACAAAAATTCGTGGTGCGAGAACAAAAGACAGACGTGCGTTAAAGAGAATTAACAAACAAGGAAGAACATTTAGATGGTCCTCGCTGCAAAACAAACAACAAAACCTGCTATTTAAGCCAGAAACAGTAAATGAGATGTATAAACACGGTAAAGAGAAGCCAGGAGACAGATCTGTGTTTTGCTGATATAAATCCTAAATATAAATCTGAAATATTAATCTTTTTTAATAGTTTTTAACTATAAAACAATATTTTATAGCATGTTTTCATGCAATTCATACAAATGTCTGAATTGAAATATGTTTTTTTTTTAGGTAATGCAAACGTGTGTGTCTTAATCATTCATTCACTTTGTGGTGGTGCTGTGAGGTGGTGGCTTTCGGAGCAAAAACGGAGCTTGGAGGATGTAAAACAAACTGCAGAGTGTCCCTTTCTTCCCGCAACGCCGTGGCCCGGCCCGAGCCCATTTTAGAGGAGACGAGACGTGAGTGCTCGCACAGATGGAGGAGCTGTCTGATTGCAAGCGACTGGCCGCTGCAACATGGGGTATCAGGTCCTCCACCATGCTGCAGCAGCCAAGCAGAAATCAATGTCACTGGAGGATAACCAGAACATCTACCAATCAATTTCCTGTAAGCTGGAATTCAGTAGGAGGTTCTGGGAGGAGGAGGAAGAGGAGGAGGAGGTGGAGGAAAACTTGGGCGACATGCTGGTGCACATCACAGGGTGGGTAACTTGTTAAATGGGGAGATTCTTGTGTTCGGGCATGGAGTTTGTGACAAATTGGGTGCTTTTCAGTTAAAGATGATAAAGAGATTGAGTGAACTTTTGACCCTTTTTTGCAGCACAAAAAAACTGTAAAAATGAACTAAAACCCATCTTAGGTTTAAAATTTCTTCTTTTTTTATTCCAATCTACTTTTTAAAAAGTCTAGTCAATCACATTTTTAAATTTAATACATCCAAAAAATAAATCAGGATGCTTTAGGAAAGAGAAACAACACAAAGAGTCGGCTTCTTACCTCTGAGGACAAAATTGATTTGGTCCACCCATTCTCGGGCCTCTTGAGGGCTGCTGGCTGTGAACTGCAGGGCGGACAAAAGTAATAAGTGTGCCATTGAGTCGCATCGAAGGGTGATTTTGTTCTGATCTCTAAATATTAGTACAATAAAAAGACAATAAATGTGAACATTTCTCTTTTTAAGTTGCCATAAAGAACAATGACAATCTGTCTCCAACATTTTTAGGCATTTCCACATCGTAGCAGAAACAGTAATGTTTGATGATTTAAGTAAGCGTTTACAATTATCATTTAATTAAAGGTTGACTGACAACAGAGCCTCAAAATGAGATAAAAATGAATAAAACTGCCCTATTTATTTGTTTGTTTATTGTGATTATTTACTCAGTCAGATTGATTTTTTATTCTGTCTCACAAAAACAACAAAATTTCAATTGTCCTGACAAACGTCTCATTAAAAGACGTAAAGTTACTTCGCTGCTAGACGCATAAAAATGAGTAAATAACTATTTTCAGTAAATGGTAAGTCAGAAGTTTAATTTTCAACACATCTAAATACATCTATAAGATGATTATAAAAATCAGTCACGTGACTATTAATCAATAGATTTGATTGTGACTGAAACTGAACTGAACTGAAATTATACAACATTTTGGTAGACGATTAATTAAAATCAATAAATAAAAATTTTGTGTGTGTTTATTTTCATGCTAGTGTTGCAGGATTAGCCTTTCAGCTATTTAAAATGTGCATTATAAAAATAAAAACTAAACTAAATTAAAGAAACATTTTAAAAAGCAGGTCTCTGTGAAGAAGTGGTAGCTATGATAGGAGCATCATTAAAAGAGAATACACTCCATTCTTTTGTGGTAAAGGAAGTGTGTGCGTGTGTGTGTGTGTGTGTGTGTGTGTGTGTGTGTGTGTGTGTGTGTGTGTGTGTGTGTGTGTGTGTGTGTGTAGGTGGGGGTATTATATCATTCCTCTTAGATTCATCTACATGCTTTTATATTGTAACTGTGCTGAAATGAATTTAACTTCTCTTTAAATTATTTTTTAACAATAGAAGGCCTCAAACATCAGATCCATAACTAAATGATCTCAAGAATTTTTATAATGCAGTTTAATATTTTTTAATTTCAAATACTAATATTTAGATCATTTACATTCTAATGTTCAATATTTTTCTAATTTTATCTAATCTTTTAAATCACGTATTTAATCTGATTTTTATTTTTCACAGGTCATTTACGATTAGTCATCAAACCTGGAAGGCGCGCCGACCTGGAGCCGTGAACTCAAAACAGGCGTTTCTCTTGGAATCTTTTCTCAGGTTGTTCGCCAGTCGAACGTTATAGTCGCTGATGAGGAAGGAGCCTTTCTGCTGTTTATCTACAGGGAAAAGGACACGAATCACTCTGGTCCTGCTTTTGTAGCACATGTTTCTGCATCACTAACAAACCTTTTTCACTTCCAAAGTAGTAAAATATTGAATTGTTCAGGACACACCATCTCTTTTGCCACTCTGAGCCAAAGAAGCTGTGATCTGAAGCAAATACAGACGAGGGTGATCAGAAACAAGGGCATTAAAAGAAATCATGTGTGGGCAAAGCAACACGACAAACGCTGTTATACCTTTTCGTTTTTTTTCCAGGTGGCCCTGCTTCAAGACATTAGTCAGGTCCTGTGCTGCCACTAAGGGGATGTCGTCAAAATCTGTTAGAAAGAACAAATCGGTCAGTTTCAATACTCAAAGAAAATCCATTTATAATCAAATGAAACAATTAAAACAACAACAAAAAAAACTTATGAGCTTTAATCAAATCAGAGTTTCTAAATTGCTTTTGATAAATTAGCTTTAAGAACAATTTTGTTAGTAAAACTGCTTCAATCAGACAGCTAATTCATTTATCAATAAACTGTTTCAGCGCTGACGCCAAATAAGCTGCACTTAAACCTTCTCTCCTCCTAAGGCAACACACGTAAACGCATCAGAATATAAATTCTCCAACCCCTTTGGATCAAATACATCCCCGGCAGGCTTGAAGAAACCCGGATCAATACATTTACAGTGCCACTGGGCGCTGCAGTCCATTCATCTGCTCGCATAACGATCTAACAAGAGCAACCTTCCTGTGGGGATCCGACGACGGCAAACATGAGAGGACAAACTCAAGAGGTAATTAGTGCAGTGTGTAAGGCACAACACACATGTGTGTGTGTGAGTGAGGATGTGACACGCATGTTACTTTCTAACCCTGTTCTGACTAAATATCTGACTGTTGGGTCCATTTTCCAGCCTGTAGACATCAGAGGGAACATGATTCCTTGATGGCTTTAAGGGCCATCTTCCATGGTGTGCTTTAACAGGAGTACCTGGATTTTCTACGCGTCAGAAACAAAGCTCAGCTTCCTCCTAATTCATTAGTCAGCAGCAGGGAAAACGCAGAGGAACAGCAAGAGGTTCCTTTTTAGTCCGAAGCACAGGAACACTTTAAACACCATTTACATAAGTCAGCATGACACCCCTATTCAGACAACAGATGACAAGGGGAATGCCTGGAGTCCATCCCCCTCAGAAAGGGTCTGTTTAACTGCTGTGAAAAGCCAAACATGTCAAACCACAACTGGATCCTTAAACAAAGAGCATTCCCCCAACTTTGGACTAACGGGAACCTGTGACTCATTCATAAAAATCACAACAAACAATTAGGGGGAAATCCCTCTTTAAAGTTTGTTTGATCACACTTGTTGTCTGAATTTAATCTGAAAAGCTTTAATAAAGCAAAGGAAAGCAGAGAGTAGTGAACATTTAGGAGATTTAAATCCCACCTGGCAGACTTTGGGTTTGTAGTTCTGACAGATGAGGGGGTCACTCCAGAGCAGCTCTCACAGCACTAACACTCTCACATATCATCGGCTCGCCTTTGTGGATGGACTGAGCGGTGACACCATAAATACAGAGGTGCTAAGGACTGTTTTGTCAAAGAGAACCTGATTCGGTACATCATAACAAACAGCGATCGTTACGCTCCTCCACCTCATTTATCCGCTGGCAGCCTGCTGGTGTTTTTTTCTTCCTCTTGTCGGCCTTACTTCCCTGTTGCGGCTCACTTCTAATCCCCTCATCTGTCTGCTTCCCTTCGCTCTTCATTTATCTCAAAGGTCGAGCTCAGATAATAAATGAGGAGCTAAAAAATCAACACAGGTTCACTCTGAACTGCGCGAGTCAATAAACATTACACATTTAGGCGTGCTTAAAGCTTCATCGCCAGGTGACCTGACCTCACGCGTTCGTCCTTTTGTATGAAATGTAAAGATAATGGCTGCAAACACACACACACACACACACACACACACACACTAGTTCTTGATTCTTCCACACGGTAGCAGCACAACCTAAAAACACCTCTGGTTGGTGCTGCTTCCACCCTAAACAAAAGCCGGACCTGATTGGTGCGGAGTTAACAAGTCCTCCTCTGATGAAAATCACACACTAACACCTCTCTGGGACCAATGCAACCGTAAGTGGATATTTAGAGGCATTGTTATTTGAAAATGTGTAATTTAGCGCATTAAAAAGGCCCAAAACCATCATGGTGTTTGAGTTTTGAGTTTGAGTACAGACACAGAGAGGCGCATTAATGCATCTAATTAGGCCTCATCAAAACCGCAGACAGACGGCACTCTTTCATAAAAATCATAAATTGCATTATCAATTATTCAGAGCAATGCCACGACTTCATTTTCATCCCTTTTGCGTTTTAATTAGCACCATCCACAGCTTTGATATTGACATTAATTTGATGGCAATTTATTGATATTTCAGCATAACCTATTTAGCTGAGTGCAATTACCAACAAAGAGAAGCAGATAGATGCCGCGTTAGAGTCGCATCCCGCCTTTCGTAAATCAAGGTGAGGAGTTGCTACGGGCCTCGCTAACTGAATCTAACGGCTCTCAGCGGTCATCAGCGAGAAAAGATTTGAGTCACCCAATTTCCAAATGGGGGGAAATAATCAATAGAAATTGACTGGAAATATGTGTTTAATTGATTCTGACAGTGGAGCATTTCCATAAGTGGAGCTGACCTGTGTGACGACGAGCGATGAGTTCTGAACTTGTGTTAAACTCTGAGGGGACACACAACGATGCATCTGAGCTGCCAGCAGTTTGCCACAACCGCAATCTCTCATTTGGTTATTCACACTCCCTCAGCATGGTGTTCTGAGCTCAGCAGTTGATCCGGCAAGAAGAAGCTGATTTATGTTAGCATGACCAGAGGGAGTTAATATATTCTCTCATTAAAATCCACTTTAGTTCGGCTGAAAGTCAATCAAAGGCTGGAAAGAGTGTGAATCAAAATGAAGGAAAATGGTGGAGTGGGAGGACTGGTGTAATGCATCAGATCCGACGATGGTCATAACGCAACGAAGATGGTGTGAAAACACAAAAAATGGGCTGAAGATGTTGATGTTCTACTGGCATCTTGTTTGTAAGACAGTAAGACGGCAGAAGCACAGGCGGGATTCAGCCGCAGCAGGAAAACACGAGGATTCAGGATGACCCGCTGCACTCAAGAGTCCAGATCCACGCAGAGAAACAGAAACTCGTTAAGAAAAGTAAGAACGATGCTGCTCAGTTTCATACACAAACACATCTAAAGTGCCAAAGATGTTCTGATGTTTTATATTCAAGCCGTACCTGCTGTGTGTGATGGGTACAAACTCAGACGTGAAAATAAAAATCAAGGACAGCGTAACCTCAAGTATTCTTAGCTTTATGCCCTGGATATCCGTCCTACAACACACCAAACTTCTGCATCACTATTTCATCAGTAGCATTCATCATCAGAGCTGACAGCTTAACTGCTGCCGGTTTCTACACTTTTATCCTTTTTCATTTCTCCTCCATGAACGCTGCACTGTTGCTCTGATATCACAGATGTTTACATCAATCTACTCTATTTGTTAATTATGTTTAATTTCTAAGAAATTTAATTTTGTAATAACGGTTTATAAAAAGGTCAAAAATATCTTGATCTCAAGCCAATACTGATAGTACAAAAGCTTATTTTGTTAGACACAAACATAAATTCACACCGACGAAAGCCGTCTGTGTTATTCTGTTTGGATATTTTCTTTTTGTTTTGTGTCCAGCTGCCCTCGTGGCCAGGTCTCCCATGCAAATGAGAATGATTTACCTAGATAAATAAGAAAATAAAATCTATAGCTGTATTTGGGCTAAGGCTAAGAATAAAAATTAGATCTCACATCACACATCATGTCGACAGAAATTTTAACACTAGAATTTAACTTTTAGTCTAAATCGCTTCAGAACTGGTTTTCGATGCCATTATTTGTTAGTTACTGGTAAAACATCAGCGAGAACTGTGCTGATTATTGCCGTGTCCAGAAATGACCCTTCATTGCACAGGATCAGAAAGTTATCATACGTTTTCTTTCTCCTTTGCTCAGTCCTTGAGTGCGGAAGCTTTCACAGCGCCTCTCAATGCGAGAGGTATTGCATTGAATGCAGCATCAGGGGGCAGGACCTGACCCCTGTGCGAACTCTGCTGATGAGGTGAAACAGAAGGCACAGAGAGGCTCCCGGCCCTGAGGGGGCTGCAGGGAGGAATGCTGCTGATTCTACAGACGAGGAGAACGAGACCGCAATCCTCTTCGATACTGTCCTTGATTAGGAAAAAAGGATTCACTCAGTGCACCTTCACCCACCCAGCGCTCAATCTGCGCGCAGGCCAGGCTAAATTGATACATTTTTCCTCATTACAGTGGGAGGCCTCTGCTGCGCGTCCCTCCAGCGAGGCGTCCGTCAGAAAGGAGGAGAGACTGAGAGGCACTGAGGTTAAGGGCAGAATGTCTCCTCGGCCCTCCTTCCCTCCCCCTGATTTGATTAGGACTTCAGTCATCGATACATAAACCATGTTTAGAAACTCCTAATGCATGAGTTTGAACCAAAGAAAACATGCAGTGCATTATATCAGCCTGCGTGATGACTGTGTCACGTCTAATGATGTTTGATGGCACCGGGAATTTATGCAGAAGGATTTGGGATTTTTGTTTTCTTTTAAGATCACTGATGTCGGTCTGATTTGAACAACAGATCAGACTCACTCCGGGTGAGTGAAGAAGCCTTTTACTGAACAAAATTAAACTTTCATTAAACAGAAAGGATTTTATCACGCTTACATGACTCTTTAAAATCAGGAAGATGCTTCAGTAAAATCTAAAGGAAAAGTGTGTGACTTGGTTGGTTAATTTTGATACAGTTCTGAAGAAAAACTACATATTTTATTTTTTCCTCAGAGGAACAGATGTTAAGTCATTGTTGGCTCCGGTTTGCTCTATTCCTGCGTTCGAACATCGCAGACCGGCCTCTTTAAAGACACTAAGGGGCTAAATTTACAATGTGACATGGGTTTCCCCCTGGGCAGCCATAAGCAGCGTCTACAGCGACCCTGAATTTCCCTTTTCTAGATTTACTACCACTATTCAAATGCTTAACTGCAGATACAATGATCCTCTAATCGCTGGGGATGGTTTTCAGCTGCTTCACTGACAGAAACAAAAAAAACCACACAGTAGTAAGAATATAAATACCAGCAACAGAGGCGTTTGGGCCCACACAGGTGCCTGTGTTTTAAAAATGGAATAGAGCCTGGAGGAACACGTAAAACACTCAGAAAATACATTTAA